TTAAAAAAATAATAATAAAATGGACTAAATTTGTCCTAGGTCTAGAAGTCTAAGTTCATGCACTACCCTCCCCCAACAGACAATTTCATTATTCATGGAAATCATCTAAATGAAATTCTAAATGTCTGATGTTCACATAAATCATAATTTGTTTATTTCCAAAGCTAATTAAAAGGTTATGCCTTAATTATAGACTCCAAGGAAATGAAAGATGTTTTAAATTCACAAGTGTTGAATTTCAACAGTAAACCTGACTCAATATTTTTATCTGCTCTTAAGGCAGAAAACCACAATTTTGAGAATATATGTAGCATAAAAATTAATTGTTTTTCCTCACTATGAAAATGATCCAGATTTCTACCTTTGGTGTAACCAGATTTAGCTCAGCAAGAGGGTGGAAGTAAAGTGTCCAGAACTACAGTGCCTTGATCTCCTTCCCCCAATTCTAAGTGCTTGAAATTTGGTTCACAGAGAAAAAGACAGCGATGAGAGGTCAATTCGTGTGAATTGGAGGTAAAAACATGTGAAAAGAAGTCTATGAAGTTTATACCACAGGCTACTAAACATGTTAAATCTGATTTTTTTTTTACTTAATTATCAAAAAATCACTTCCTTTTAATCTGGAAATGGCCTTCAAAAACCACTGCAGACTTGTGTGGCGGTACAGGTTATCTGCATCCTCCCACCACCATGCCCCTTTCCCAACATAATAGGACCAGGGTACACTCCTTGGTTGTTTCCTAGAGAAGACCGGAATACATAAACCCAGTGGACTGTGCTTGTCAGCTTCAAATAGACCAGAAACACTGTTGGTTTCAACACAGACAACAGTAACATTTAGGTTGGTCTAACACACACAGTTGATATCTGGTTTTTAAGTTAATAGCATGTCATTAAACTGCATTACTACTGGAAATCAAGCAAGGCAGCAGCCTACCTGCAAGTTTAAAATAAAAGCAATCAACTGGAAACCTAAGACAGCATGCTTGTCTCCAAACCACACAATTTCCAGACCTACATATTCAAGATAGACTACCAACTTTTAAATCACCGCATAGAAGCTAGAACCATTGACAATAGCTTCAGAGGTAAAATAGTAAAATAGACTAAATTTGTCTCAGTTTTAGAAAAATCTACTTTAAGTTCATGCACAACCCTACCCCAATGGACTATTTCATTAGAATTATTTGTTGTGAGTTATGTATATCTCAGAAGTGTTAGTATATTCGAAAAACATTGGAGAGGGGTTATAAAAGAGTGCAACAGCAGGGGGTATAGTGGGGCTATAGCCTCAGAGGATCGTGTCCAGTAGAGGACAGGTCACTGTGGATTCTTCACCCTTGCACACAATTGTAAGACTGCTAAGGCTCCGGAATAACAACGGGGTTCATCTAACAAACAGGAAAACTAAGAGTTTGTAAGCCCACAAGTGGCCAGCTATCTCACCCCAAAGATTGTCTAAAACTCCCAAAGATCGCTCGTTCAAGATGGTGCTGTCCTGACAACGAGGGCCAGGATCCAACTCACCGCAGCGGGAGGTGCTCACAAGTGGAGCCACTGAGATCACAGCACAGCAACCAGCAGCAATAGTCTGAAGGTTGGAATGGACAGCACAGGATGGTAGAATGGACGGCCACAGAGCCAACACCACCAGGAGGCGGTGCTAGACGATCAGAGGCAGTGGACAGCTCTCAGAAGTGACACGTACTGAGTGCCAGTCATCCGTCAACAGTGCTGAACACCACAGACCACTAGGAGGTGGTGTTAAAAAACTGTTTTCTGTGTTGTGTTGTTGGCCCACACCAACAAACAGCTTTTTGAAACACCAGGCCCAGGGCCTTTGGTGCTCCTTTCGCGATGTCAGAATCAGACTGGAGGCAGGAGTTGACGCCTCACCTCTGCAAAGCTCTTCGACTTCACATCAGAGGTTGGCTTTTGGATGCTGTTGCTTTCTTCGGAGGTCAGAAGAGTGAGATTCCCAAGCTGGCGCATGCCCTGCCTTATATCCGCTTTCAGAGTGCCCCACCTGCAAGTCTGTTTGGATTGTTTTCAATCCTATGGCTGATGAGACCAAAGCACCAATCAGCTTTCATCTGGTGGGTCCATTTTACAAGCCAGGCACCAAATATTGGCCTGGGACTCCACAGGCCTCTCTACTGCCTACAGCTGGAGGTAGCTACAGTGGCCCCATGTGCCTCCCTGAACCAGGGGCTGCGTACCCTGCTAGAGGAACCATGGCTGTCCCCCATCACTGCTGGCATCTACCTGCAGCATGAGCCCCAGTGGGGCCATTGGTGGCAGGTGGTAAAATGCCCACCACCTGCTGCTTGCTGCCTCCACAGCCTACAGGCAGTGCTGTTGGGCAGAATGCTGGAGGGGCTGCCCATAGGCAGCAACTCTGTGGTGGGTAGAAAACCACTTTTCCAATACCTTCTGCTGGCAGTTGTGAAATGGCCAGTCTTGCCCCACAGCTTGTGCTGCAGGGCCCCAGTTTCAATTTTATTCCATGTATTTTTTTTAAAGACTTATTTATACAAGAACCAGGGTACAGGCCAAATGTGCGGAAGGGTGAGAAGATTCACCAGAGACAGCGGGGAACAGAGCAGGCAGACTGACGAAATACACTGCTGAGGGGAGCAGCAGGCGAGACAGGAGAGGTCTGCTGCGCCATGTGGGTATCTCCCCAGCTGGCCAGGATCAAACGCGTGCTGCAGAGGCTGCGGACAGCTTCACAGGGCAGTGCTCAACTGCCTGCACCACCAGGGAGGCCCTTATTCCATGTTTTAAACTTGATTAAAATAAACATAAAACACACCTGTAGAGCAAGGACTTAACATCAAGGATACAAAAAAATAAATCACAAGCAGTTCCATGTCTGTTATGATGACTTAACTGTACTTATATAAACTTTATTTGGAAGTCGTGACTACCATTGGTTTTGTTTTTTTTTTTTTTAAGATTTATTTATTTATACATACAAGCACTAGGTACAGCCAGAAGCGCAGGAGGATGAGAGAATTCACCAGAGCCAGAGAGGGGATCAGAGCAGGCAGAAGGACCGAAGTACACTGCTGAGGGGAGCAGCAGGCGGCAGGAGAGGTCTGCGCGCCATGTGGGACCCTCCTCCGGTGGCCGGGGAGCAGACGGGGATCGAACTGGCGCTGCAGAGGCTGCGGGCAGCTTCACAACCTAGCGCTCAACTGCTGCGCCACCAGGGAGGCCCTGGTATGTAGAACAGTACACTGAAGCTAGGCTATTTTCTTTGCAATGGATTCCACTTCAGTTCTTGCAACTGTTCGAGCACCTGGTGCAGCCTTGCAGTCTCCAATAGCTTTTTGATTAGTGTAGTTCAAAGTGGGAAAGGGCAGGAGCCTCCCTGGTGGCGTAGGGCTTAAGTCTCAGCGTTATCACACTTACCACTGTTACGGCCTGGCACAGCAGACCTCTCCTGTCTCACCCGCTGCTCCCCTTAGAGGTGTTCAGTAAATCCACCTGTCCTGTTCCCCACACTGTCTCTGGTGAATCCTCACATTCCCTGCACCTCTGGCCTACACCACAAACTACACTCCAGTTCTTCTATGCATAAATCTTAAAAAAAAAAAAACCTTGGGCCTCCCTAGCGGCACAAGGGGTTAAGTCGCAGCACTATGAAGCTGTCCACAGCCTCTGCAGCACGAGTTCAATCCCTGGCCAGGGAGCAACCCACATGGCGCAGCAGACCTCTCCTGACTTGCCCGCTGCTCCCCTCAGCAGTGTATTTCAGTAGATCTGCCTGTTCTGTTCCCTACTCGGTCTCTGGTGAATCCTCTCACACCCCCCTGCCCCTCTGGCCTGTACCCCAGTTCTTGTATGCATAAATAAATAAACCTTAAAAATAAAAAACCTTAAGAGAAGGCAATATAAAGAGGCTTTGGCCTGCAAAGAACACTAAAAATAGCTGTTTGTCAGGTGAGACACAACAAAAGCATTCACAATGAATTACCCCTCAGAGGAGAACTGAGAGAGAAAAGCTTACAGTCTTTGGGTAAAGGGAAAAGGCAGAAAGGGTGATGAAATTAAGACACAGAAAGTCAGGCAGGCCTAGAAAGATACAAGTCTAAAAACAAAAATTGCGAGGTATGACAACTACTAAAAGGACAATGAGAAAATAAATGTAGATTAATGTTCCACATGGGACTTATGGATTTAAAAAAAATTACACCTGGGCCTCCCTGGTGGCGCAAGGGGTTAAGACACAACCTATGGGGCCTCCCCTGGTGGCGCAGCGGTTGAGCGCTGGGCTGCGAAGCTTCCTGCGGCCTCTGCAGCGCCTGTTCGATCCCCGGCTGCTCCCCGGCCACCGGAGGAGGGTCCCACATGGCGCGCAGACCTCTCCTGCCGCCTGCTGCTTCCCTCAGCAGTGTACTTCGGTCCTTCTGCCTGCTCTGCTCCCCGCTCTGGCTCTGGTGAATTCTCTCACCCTCCCGCGCTTCTGACTGTACCCAGTGCTTGTATAAATAAATAAATAAATAAATAAATCTTTAAAAAAAAAAAAAAAGACACAACCTATGAAGCTGTCCGCAGCCTCTGTAGCACGAGTTCGATGCCCCGGCTGGCCAGGGAGCAATCCACATGGCACAGCAGACTTCTGATTTGTCCACTGCTCCCCTCAGCAGTGTACTTCGGTCAACCTGCCTGTTCTGTTCCCCACTGTCTCTGGTGAATCCTCTCACCCCCAACACCTCTGGCCTGTGCCCCAGATTTTGTATGCATAAACAAATCTTTGAAAAAAATAAAATAAAAATACACCTAAAAAGGAACTTCTCAAAGGAAAAGAACTAGATATAGTAGTATGCATTGCAATGTTTTGAAACTAAATAGCATTTCAACTGGCCTTGTCAGTTTATGCTGTGAATTCACTTTCTTCCGCAACCAAAGGACCAAGGGAAAAAACATATTGGAATGATCAAACGTCTGGTACTCTCTGCTTACATGAATAAAGCAAAAAAGAAAATCCCACTCATTTTAGCAATTTTAAATGCTAATTTTTATTTACTGCTAACTGTGCAAAGGACACCAATTCAATACTGTGCAGTAAAAGTTACATAAATCCAACATTAAACAATAGCATATGGGATAAATCTAAAGCAGAACACCATGTGCCTTCAAAACTGATTAGTATTAGAACACAACCCAGTTAACACAATTCTCAAGAATCCTAAAGAGGTCTCTCATTTAATATAAAGACAGTTACCCAGAAGCAAAGGCTCTTGGTTCTGATGTTTTATAATCTAGAAAAAAGTGGCAGTCATTCCAATTTTGCATTGTTTAATATAATGTGTGACTCGAACCACAGATATAGTTCAGATGTCATTCCTTTTATCAATTGGTACCATCAACTAACTAATACAAAGTTGAGAAGCTGGTTGATATGAGAACAGCTGAATACAACTATGTTCAATGTGGGGCTAGTTGTATATCCAATTTCCATATTCACAGCTCAAAGTAGCAGCCCTTTATTTTAAATCAAAAGATAAAATAATCTTAAAGGCAGATATAATAACCACTTAAGCTACCTAAATCACTTAAACACTAACAAAATATTTTAAAAAATTAAAAAACAGCAAGAAAAATGGCAGTGCAAGAATACTTCATACTGCTGAATGTTACATATTCTGAGGTACATAATGAGAAGCTGAGGAAGGTGAAGCAATATAACCAACTGGTCCAGGATTCACAGCACCATGAACAGGAGAAGAACCACCATATGCTGTGCCAACTGGATGCCACGGTGCAACACAGGGATAATCTGGCACAACAGGAATACAGGAATCAAATCCCGGCAAAGGTGGCTGCCCATAGGGATCTGACATCACTGGATAATAGACTGTTCCCTGAGGGACACTTGCAGGATCAGCATTTGGAAATGTACCTGAAAAAAGAATGTATACAGAACACTTTATATACAGACCCACTAAAACACCAACATAAATCGATGTTCTTACAGGTGATTAAAAATTTGCACTATTTAGAAAAGGTCACAACAATTGTGGCATGAGGAGCACTTGATAGGAGTTAAGTGGTAAGAACAGGCTACCTCAAACAAAATATTATATAAAAATATCCCAATATTAAAAATTTAAATGTATCTGTATATAATATGTCAAATGTATTCGACCTAGAGATAGCCATCTTCTTGGGATGATCTAGTACCAACAAACGAAATATATAAATATTCTCTATATTCCTTCTTAGAAATTAAGTTCTTCTAAGAATTGATCACAATGAAGTTACCCAAAAGTTTTCCAGTATAACAAGTATCACCCAAAATAACCATTTCTGTATCACTTTGCGACAATTAAAAACTACTGTCACCTCCTGAATACAATAATAACTTAGGTAGCTTAAGTGGTTATTAAGTTCCCAGCATCATTTTAATTTTACAGCAATTTTGCTACCACGAGTCAGTTTCAAAGGAAATAGACATTGTTCTGACCCTTCTAATAGGGACTGTATAAATGTTAAAAAAGAAATTCTTCATTAGTTGGGATAACTTAGATTCACTCATTCTGTAAAAATAAGAATACCATGATCTCATGGCTTATACAAATAAAAATAGCTCTATAAAAGTTAACTTTTTAGGGGCCTCCCTGGTGGTGCAAGGGGTTAAGACACAACCTATGAAGCTGTCCGCACCCTCTGCAGCAAGAGTTCGATCCCTGGCCAGCCAGGGAGCGACCCACGGTGCAGCAGACCTCTCCTGACTCACCCGCTGCTCCCCTCAGCAGTGTACTTCAATCTGCCTGTTCTGTTCCCTATTCTGTCTCTGGTGAATCCTCTCATCCCCCACACCTCTGGCCTGTACCCCAGCTCTTGTATGCATAAATAAGTATCTTTAAAAAGTTAACTTTTTAAAAAATGCAATGTAGATTGATACTTTTAATTTTCACCACCATGGGCCACATCACACCACCCCACCAGGGATGAGATTCTATAATGCCAACATTCAAGAACCACTAATATGCCTGGGGAAAAAAGGGAGAAAAGAAAGGAAATCTGCTTTCCTAACATGTTTCTGCTGGGAAAGCTACTCGGTTCAAGCAGTCCTTCCAAGGTATGAATGAGTCCAAAGTCTTGCTCCAAATGGAGAGCCAGACTCTGAGGGCAAGGTTGAGCTCTTCAAGGGGACGCACCAGCACTGGAAGTATGCCAAAAGACTGAGTCACATCTTAGCCAAAAAGTCAGGAAGGGGCCTCCCTGGTGGCACAGCTGGTTGAGCACAGCGCAGTGAAGCTGTCTGCAGCCTCTGCAGCGCAGGTTCCATTCCCAGCCAGCCAGGGAGATTCCCACATGGCGTGGCAGACTTCTCCTGTCTCGTCTGCTGTTCCCCTCAGCAGTGTCTTCGGTCTGTCTGCCTGTTCTGCTCCCCACTCTGTCTCTGGTGAATCCTCTCACCCTCCCACGCCTCTGGCCTGTACCCCAGCTCCTGTATAAAAATAAATAAATCTTAAAAAAAAAAAAATAGCACAGTGATCCTGGGCCAGGAAGTCATGGAATCTCGAAAGAGTCTATTCCAGTTCCTTCCTGTGACACAGTGATGAGCAGACTGGATGAAGCCATGCAATGAGTGGAAATAGGTCTGGAAACTGTCCAGGATGTTCTTAGCAAAACAATATAATCTTTGTGATTAAGACCTCAGTACAGGGAGCAGGACTGGGTTGGGAGTTCTGAGGCCCAGTCTTAATTCTACTTTGCTCCTGTGGCTAAGGAAGAACAAGTGTTTTCAGTTCTCTACCCACCCTTCTCCTGCATAGACACTTGTTTAGTGATTCAAATGTGAGTTACAATAAAAAATAAAGTGTGTATACATATGTTTACATATGTGTACATATATAAAGTATATATATTAAGTATATATAATAGATATGTGAAACATATAGTTATACATATAAACAAATCTATGAAGTGTATATGTTATGTATATGTATATATAAAAAAATAAGCAAAATCCTGAAAGTTATGTTAACTCTCCAAACAGTATTTCTCTCCATTTCACTGGCAGAGCAATTCAAGAAGGACTCTTGGAGGAGGAGCTGGGTTATCCATGACTTCTTGGTATTCCTGTAGTACTCTAGCAGCGTGTTTATTAAAATGCTTGAAAGCCTTGGGGTTCTTACTGTGTCAGATCACAAAGGGTTTCAATTTGCAGCCTGCAAAACTGCCCCCAAGTGAAACTGTTATTCTGCCTTTAAAGCCTTGAACCCAGGTATTGACTTGGCCTACTTATGAATGAAAGTCCTTTCAGGCATCTATTCAGAATAGGGAGGTTTCATCCATACCAAAGATTTGCTCTGGCAAGTTACTACTCCTCCAAAATCAGTGTATCAAGAGTTTAAAAAAATTCTTCAGCTGATTCCACCAGCACTTGCAGACTCACCACTCACTTTCAAATTATGTAGTGAATGACAATTCTTGAATCGTTTAAGCCACTCAGAGCTAGCAATAAATTTGACATGGTAGTCAGGTCCAGCCTTTCTTTCAACTAACTTTTTGCTTTGGTCATGATGGTCATGGTGTTGGCAAAGACTATGTTTCTATGTCTGGTCTTCAATCCAGATCATTAGAAATTTCACTGTATCTGAAATAGGCTCTTTTTGACTTTTTGTAAGTCTAATGTTTTCAATGAAACAGCTACTTCAACAGCCTCTGTTTCTTAGTGCTTGTTACTCAAGATTATATCTATGATAGAATGGGACACGCCTGACTGGGGAGCAATAACTGTCACTGACTTTCCACTTTCATAGTCCTAATCACTTTTAATTTTGTTTCTAGGTCAGTCACTTGGTATGGCCTTTTACTGGCAACATGGGCAGTGAGCTTTGTAGACTTAGGGGAAATGAATAAAACGACACAAGATTAAATCAAGCACAGGGGAAAATGGTGTTTTCAAGAGACACAGTAAATGCGGGACACATGAGGCCAATGAGGCCAATGTAAAATGCTATGAAGTCATGATGCTCTATTTTTAGGTAGCAGGAATTTTGGGGACCATATATGTTGACGGTTTTTGACCAAAATGTCATTACATGGTACATGACTGTATATTTAGTTTTTGTAACAACTTTGGCAAGTAAAGTATCTCCCACTTTACAGAAAATCAGGCTTAGGGAGGTTAAGAAACTTGGCTGTGATACAACCATCAAATTGCTGTGCTAGAATGGGCCACAGATTTGGTTAGTTCAATTTCTCTATCTCCTTGCTCATTCCTTCTGAGGAGGACAGTCCAAAGATCCCATTTAAATTCTTCAAAATATCTTCCCATCTATTATACTGTAAACTCAGAGAGCAACCATACTCATGGTCTAGTATGGTGGCTCAGATTTTTGGTCTCAGGATCCCTATACATTCAAGAATGTATAGTCCTCTCCTATTTTGGAGAGGACTCCAAATAGTTTTGTTTATATGGGTTGTATCTACCAATATTTACCATTAGGATTTAAACTGAGAAAATTAGAAATATTAATTCATAAATAACCCAATCATATATTAATGCAAATAAAAACTTTTTGAAACTTTAGTTCATTTTCCAAAACAAAAAAAAATTTTGGCATTCTACACTTGTGCAAACATCTAATATATGGCTTACTAGAAGACAACTAGATTCTCAGTTCTATTTCTGTAACCTGTTATATATTGTTTTGGTTGAAATATAAGAAATTTGGTTTCATAAAATACATAGTTGGAAAAGAGACTTTCTTAATAACTAGTCATTTCAGATAATTGAGGATTGCTCTGATGTTAGTAGTTTCTTTTTTTTTTTGGTGGGACCCTCACCAGCGGCCGGGGAACGAACCGGCGCTGCAGAGGCTGCGGGCAGCCTCGCAGCCCAGCGCTCAACCGCTGTGCTACCAGGGGAGGAGTAAGTAGTTTCTTAAAGGTGAGTAGCACCGTGAACTTTTCACACATTAAAATTCGTTGTCGTACCTTGTACTTTAGATAAGATTTTTAACATAATCATATATAGGTAACATCATACACTGGAAATTAGGAAAATGTTTTCTCATTGTATCACTGAGTTATAGAGATTTCCCAAATGTTGACACATTTCATTACACAATGTAAAAAATGACATTCATTAATAGTCCCATAATTTATGATAAGTGCTGAGTATCAGGAAGCTGTCATGGTCATGAAGGCAGATACAAGTGTTCAAAATTGTAATATTTGAGAGTTGAGTTTTTATCTTTGACAACAAATATATGTTAATGAAATGAGAGGCTCACACTGTTCATTTGAGACATTTGAGAAAATGTCTGCCAGATCTATAAGTCTGAACATGGTTGACCTATCATTCTTTCAAGTAAAAAGTGTTGCATGAAAAGTCAGCTAGCTCAGCTTATAACTGCATAAATCCTTTTAAGTTGATCATCATACTTGAGTATGCAGAGTGCTTTATGAGTATTTCCCATTCTGTTATGCCAAATATTAAGGACAATGATGCAAGTATAAAGTTTTAGTAAAAAAGAATGCCTTTGATAACATAAAAACTGGCATTTCTGTATCACAAGTTTGTGCAAGAGAGGAAGATACTGATTACTAGCATAGTTTAGTGCCACCACCTTGTTTTGTGCTTAGATGCCAGCAGTTTTAGAGAGCACTGATTTTTGTTCCCTCAAATGAAATGCAACACAATCAAAGGGACAAATAATATATGTGTAAAATGATAAATACTTCTGGCCTCATGAATCCCTTAACAGGGTCTCAGGGACAAGGTATGCATGGGCACCATATTTTGAGAAATGTTCACCTAATTAATATATTAACCTAAAGAAACATCTGAAGGCCATTATTAGATTATACAGAATAAAATCCAGTCATCTTTTCCAAAGGCAATCTTGTTACTCACCATTTGCTGATGCTTCTCCTGGTGTGCCATCTTGTCTCCCCACCTCATTGTACAACTGAGGAACAGTTTGATCTACCATAGGAGGTGGCTCAGTATAAACTGGATAATTCTCCACATGAAGCTGCTGTTGCTGCTGCATCTGTGGTACATAGACCATGGAGTGCCAGTAGTTGTGGTGGTAACACTTGGGCAAAAAAAGAAAAAAGAAACAAACATGGAAAATCTATTCTCTACTACATTAAGATCTTTTGCAGCATGTGTATTTCACATTTGAACAAAGGAATTCTTTTAGGAAAGCACCCAAAGGAAAACAGAATATACACAACGACCTGTACACATGAATGGAGGAGGGGATTACGCTAACTGAAACTAGTAAACAGAAAGACAAATACCAGATGATTTTATTCATAAGTGGAATATAAAGAAACAAAACAAGAGAACAGAAAAACTAAACCCAAGCAGAACTGAGGCTATCAGAGCAGGAGAGTGAGGAACAAAGGCGGGAAGGAGACCTAATGGACTATGGTGGAGGATTTGGGGGCTTTGGTGGAAGGTGTGGTGGGGTAATATACATCTGAAGAGATGGGGACCTATATCCATAAATCATAAACAGTGTTGTAAACCAATACTATCTCAATTAAAAAAGCAAATTTTAGAAATAAAAATAAAAGCAAAAACACTGAGTAATCTAAATATTCAACAGGAAACCAGATGAACAAATTTTGTTATATTCATGATGGAAAATTATACAGGCAATCAATATCATGATATAAAATAAAGAAAAATTCATATTGTTGAATATCTCACACCAGTGAGAATGACCCATATTAAAAAAATACCAACAAATGCCAGTGATAAAAATACAGGGTGTTGTCACTCACATGTGGAATACAAAGAAACTGAGTAACAGGTCAAACACCCTTTAAAAACCAACCCTTGAGGGGCCTCCCTGGTGGTGCAAGGGGTTAAGGCACAACCTATGAAGCTGTCCACAGCCACTGCAGCATGAGTTTGATCCCCCGGCCAGCCAGGGAGCAACCCACATGCTGCAGCAGACCTCTCCTGGCTTGCCCACTGCTCCCCTCAGCAGTGTACTTCGGTCAATCTGCCTGTTCTGTTCCCCACTCTGTCTCTGATGAATCCTCTCGCCACCCCTCCACACCTCTAGCCTGTATCCTAGCTCTTGTATGCATAAATAAATAAATCTTTAAAAAAAAAAAAAAAAAACAACCCTTGAAAGCTGATATAGAACTGAGGCATTTGGGGGCCTTTGGGGGCCTCCCCTGGTGGGCAGCGGTTGAGTGCTGGGTTGCCCACAGCCTCTGCAGCGCCGGTTCGTTCCCGGGCTGCCAGCAAGGGTACCACAAAAAAGAAAAAGAAAAAGAAAAAGAAATGAGGCATTTGGGGTGGGGGTGTGAAGGCTGAGAACAGTGTAGGCAGAGAGCACACCGGACTATGGGGGAAGACTATATATAGGTGCTTTGGTGGTAGGTGCACTAAGGTGACAGCACCTGAAGGGAAAGATCTATATACTTCCAAGTACTAAAAAGGATGTAAACCAAGGATGCACTTTGATAAAAAACTTTAAAAGCATTAGTCAAAAATGGAAAAAAAAAAAACACCATGTAATACCACTCTTTACATGTCACTAAGTCTACTTGTCACATAAAATGCAGGGATAGCCACATGAATGTTCTAAGTAGAATAATTTATTATTTTGAGATAAAAACATAGTAAAAGCCTGGCATATGATTTAAAAATGGAGTTTAATGGTGCTAAAGTTGTGCTACTTAAAGTTCACACTCAACACAATTTAACAACTATTTTTTTTTTTAAATATTAAATTTTATTTTTATATTCCCCCATACAATTGCAAACGCCCCATTCTGACCCCAATCCTTCCCCTAACGCCCCCCACCCCCCAAAAAGTGTCTCTGGTTCATAGTTTTTTGTTGATTTTGATTTTCACTTTCTTATATTCATTTTCCTGGTCCCTTATTTAAGTTTTCTAGATTCCTGCTATGAGTGAGACCATCCGGTATTTTTCTTTTTCTTTTTGGCTTATTTCGCTGAGCATGATCCCTTCCAGTGCCATCCATGTTGCTGCAAATTGCATGTGTTTATCTTTTTTGAATGCTGAGTAATATTCCATGGTATATATGTACCACATCTTCTTGATCCAGTCATCTATTTTTGGGCATTTGGGTTGTTTCCAAAGCTTAGCTATTGTAAACAGTGCTGCTATAAACATAGGAGTGCAGGTGCTCTTTGGAATTGATGTTTCTGTGTCCTTTGGATAAATACCTAGGAGTGGAATTGCTGGATCATATGGAAGCTCTATGTTTAGTAGGTCCAGAAATCTCCACACAGCTCTCCATAGTGGTTGGACCAGTTTGCACTCCCACCAACAGTGCACAAGAGTTCCTTTTCTCCACATCCTCGCCAACATTTGTTGTTGCTAGTTTTTTTAATATGTGCCATTCTCACTGGTGTGAGATGGTATCTCATGGTAGTTTTGATTTGCATTTCCCTGATGACAAGTGATGTTGAACATTTTTTCATATGTCTGTTGGCCATTGCATTTCCTCTTCAGAGAAGTTTCTTTTTAGCTCTTCTGCCCATTTTTTGACTGGATTATTTTCTTTGTTGTTGCTGAGTCTCATCAGCTCTTTGCAGATTTTTGTGATCAGTCCTTTATCATTAGTGTTGGGTGCAAAAATGTTCTCCCAGTTGGTGGGGTTTCTCTTTGTTTTTGTTATTGTCTCTTTTGCTGTGCAGAAGCTCTTTAATTTGATGTAGTCCCAGCTGTTTATCTTTCTCTTCACTATCACTGCTTTGGGTGATGTGTCTGTAAAGATGTCTTTGATGTGCAAATCCCGTAGTGTTTCGCCTATATTTCCTTCTATGTATTTTATGGTTTCAGGTCTTATGTCTAGTTCTTTAATCCATTTTGAGTTGATTTTTGTGTATGGTGTGAGGTAGTGGTCAAGCTTCATTCTTTTGCATGTAGCGACCCAGTTTTCCCAGCACCATTTATTGAACAAACTTTCTTTGCTCCAATGCATAGTCTTTGCTCCTTTGTCAAAGATTAGTTGACCATAAATCTGTGGGTTTATTTCTGGATTTTCTATTCGATTCCATTGGTCTGTATGTCTGTTCTTGTTCCAATACCATGCAGTTTTGATGATTATGGCTTTGTAGTATAGTTTGAAGTCTGGGAGTGTGATGCCTCCATTTCCTTCTTTTTTTTTCAGTAGAGCTTTGGCTATTCGGGGTTTTTGGTGATTCCATATGAATTTCATCAATAATTGTTCTATTTCTTTGAAGAATGCCATTGAGATTTTGATTGGAATAGCATTGAATCTGTATATTGCTTTTGGTAGGATGGCCATTTTAATAATGTTTATTCTTCCAATCCATGAGCAGGGGATGTCTTTCCATTTCTTTGTGTCTTCTTCTATTTCTTTTAACAGTGTTTTATATTTCTTTGTATAGGTCCTTTACCTCTTTTGTTAGATTTATTCCCAAATATTTGATTTTTTGTTTCGATAATAAAAGGGTGGTTTTTTTGATTTCTTCTTCTTCAGATTTATTGTTGTGTATAGGAAGGCTACTGACTTTTGCGTGTTGATTTTGTATCCTGCCACTTTACTGAATTGATTGATGAGTTGAATTAGTTTTTCTGTGGAGATTTTGGGGTTCTCTATGTATATTATCATATCATCTGCAAATAGTGATAGTTTGACTTCTTTTCCTATTTGGATTCCTTGGATGTCTTTCTCTTAACAACTATTTTTATATAAAAAAATTACTGAAGTACAGGAAGGCTAAAGTAGAAAAATGACCTATATACATCTTCAGAAATATCTCAGAGGCACCAGGTGCCTCCCTGGTGGTGCAGGGGTTAAAGACAGCATATCAAGCTATCACCAGCCACTGCACCATGAGTTTGATCCCCAGCCAGCCAGGGAGCTACCTACATGGCGCATCAGGCCTCTCCTGTCTCATCTGCTGCTCCCCTCAGCAGTGTATTTCAGTCAGTCTGCCCGTTCTGCTCCCCACTCTGATGAATCCTCTCACTCCCCCCCACCCCGCACTTCTGGTTTATGCCCCAGTTCTTTAATGCATAAATAAATAAATCTTTAAAAAAATAGATAGAAAGAAGTAAACCTTTTAGGTCCTTCAGTCTCTGGCTTTTAAAATTCAAGAGCCTGACTATAATTTTAATATAGTTTATAAAGCAATTTTAACATGACCCTTACCTGCAATCCCAGATTGAAGTAGTACTGCAAAACTTTTGTATCTAAAATGAAAAAATTAACATTTTAATTTTAATTTAATGAGTAGATGACATTAGCAATTAGAACTAACGTAGCTTCTCTTTTAGCTTTGATTAAGGTAAATACAAATACAGTCATCCCAGATCAATACCACCCTCATCAATTCTACCCTAAACAATCATTTCCTAGAGTTAGAGGTAAGATTATTCTCTGATCCAAGATTTAATCACCAAACATTTTATTCATATTCTTATTTGACATGTTACAGGAATATCACTCTGCTAATATTTAGAAAGAACCCAGTAAAAGCATTTTCTTGCCTGTCTCAAGACCAAAATTTAATGCAAATCTATTAAATAAGTAATCACATTGGTCTTCAAATAACAGAACTACTATATAGTAACAATGTTAAGACTAGTGATATCTACTGAGACAACTTGCACCGTACAAAACAGTTCATCTTTTTATTTGACATGATTAACACACCACCACTCCAATGCCAAAAAGAGGAGACAATGAGCAAGGTTAACTTGAAAGAAGTTATATTCTAAGATGATAAAATTTCTCCAAATACAGAATTTAATATTTCACAAACAAAAACATGTACCAGGGTAGGAGGAAATAGTTTTAGCATTCTAATTATATCTCAAAGTATCTTTACTAACTGACTTGAGGTCCATGTACATTCTTATAAAACAATATAACTTGTGTTACACAAATGAACACTCAGAAAAACTCTAAATTTGAAGAACACCGATGCATACAAATACATATAGTGCCACTTTCAAAACACAAATTTGATGCTTTTTACTATCACATGGAAAATAATACCCAAGCTAAAGAATATGAAAAGATAAAATTCACAAGTGCATGAGAACCTAACCTACTTCTTGGTATATGCAGACTTCACTAAAAAATCTGTATGAAAGTATCAATAGCAGTATTATTCACAATAGTAAAAGTGGAAATGACCAAATATCAAAATGATAAAATGTGGTATATCCAAAAAATTGGAGTATTATTCAGTCATAAAATATGAAGTACTAGCATATGATGAACCTTGAAAACATCATGCTAAGTGAAAGAAGCCAGTAACCAAAGATCACATAGGATATGACTCCATTTACATGAAATGCTCAGAACAGGCCAATCTGTATGAAGAAAAAGTAGATCAGTGCTGGCCAGGGAAGAAATGAGTGAATGCTAATGAGTATAGCGTGTTCTTTGGTGACGGTTATAAAAATGTTCAGTAATCAGATAGTTATGATGGTTGCACATATTTGTGAAAAAACTGCCAAAAAAAAAAAACTTTAAAGAGGTGACTTTCATGTTATGTGACTTGTATCCTAACAAAAGGTACAAAAAAAGAAATATAGGAACTTAAAAACAGCAAGCTGAATTTCAATGGGGGGGAGTATTGTGAAATTAATTGCATTTGAACAGAAAATTAGAGGGGAAAGTAGATACAGAATTTGAGTAGAATCACCAAGTTAACAAAGGCTTAGAAGTAAATACTAGGTACACAGAATTCTTGTAAAAGTAGAAAAAGACAAGGTATACCTTTAGAAAAATGACTAGCAGTTTCTTATAAAACACACACACACACAACACGAGCATGCAAGAGCTGGGGTGCAGGCCAGAGATGCGGGGGTGAGAGGATTCACCAGAGACAGAGTGGGAAGCAGAACAGGTGGATCTACTGAAACATATTGCTGAGGGGTGCAGCGGGAGAGACAGGAGAGGTCTGCTGAACCATGTGGGTCACCTCCCTGGCCGGGAATAGAACTCATACTGCAGTGGCTGGATAGCTTCATAGTGCTGTGTTCACAGCAGTTCTAAACTGCAAATAGGCCAGAAGTCCATTAACATAAGAATGGACTAAATGTGAAATATTCACATAATGAAATACTCCTCAGTAATAAAAGCAAGTGGACTAATAAATGCAGCAACAGTAACTTGCTCCACCTCATACAACAACTGTCAGAGTTAGGATATAAATCTATATCTAACTTAAAAGGCAAGTACATCCTAAGTTCTGGATGGTGTACAACAAAAACTACTACAACTATGAAACCAGTGACAACTCACTCAAAGCTGATGGAGTATAGGCCTTTCTATGGAAACATCAGCAGTAGGTGAGAGAGAATCTTCAAGTAAAATCAAATAAAAATATATTGTATTTAATTAAAAAAATAGGGCCTCCCCTGGTGGCGCAGCGGTTGAGCGCTGGGCTGCGAATCTGCCCGCAGCCTCTGCAGCGCCAGTTTGATCCCCGGCTGCCAGCGAGGGTCCCACACGGCACAACAGACCTCTCCTGCCACGCCCGCTGCTTCCCTCAGCAGTGTATTTTGTCAGTCTGTCTATTCTGTTCCCCACTCTGGCTCTGGTGAATTCTCTCACCCTCCCGCACTTCTGACTGTACCCAGTGCTTGTATAAATAAAATAAATAAGTCTTTAAAAAAATAAATGCAGCAACATGGAAGACTCAAAATATTACGCTGAGTTTAAGAAGCCTTTCACAAAGAGTATATACTACTGTGATCATGTTTATATGAAATTCTGAAACAGCCAAAACTATGGCACAAAATAATTAGAACAATCATTGCCGCTGGGGGGAGGCAGAGATGGAATTAGCTAAGACTGAAAAGGAACATGAGGAGACTGAGAGAACAGAATTACTTTATACACCTCAGTGGGAATCTGAGTTACACAAATGCATGCATTTATTTGTCAAAATTCAACAGAGTTGAGCACTGCAGCACTGAGTTCAATCCCCAGCCAGGTAGCTAGCCCACATGGCGGCAGCAGACCTCTCCTGTCTTGCCTGCTGCTTCCCTTAGCAGTGCATTCCTGTCAATTGGCCTGTTCTGCTCCCGACTCTAGTGAATCCTCTTACCCCACTCCCTGCACCTCTGGCCTACACCCCAGGCTCATGTATGCATAGATAAACAAATCTTAAATAAAAAAGCTCAACAGAGCACATTTACAATTTGTATGTAAACTTTACAATTAAAAAAATAGCCAACTAAAAAAAAAAAAAATAGCCAACTAGTTAATGATGTGTGCTGAAGTTTTTAAGGGGAGCTATGATGATGCTCACGATTTACTTTGAAATGCACCAAATATAAACTATAAAATAAAATTCAAAAATATAAATTCAACTTTCATATATATTTGAATATTTTCATAACAAAAATGCTGGAATATACAGAATCAGCATTATGAGGTACTGAGTAAATCTTGGGCAGGAGCTAGGTAAGCAACCACAGAAGAGGAAAGATATCAGGTGTTTAGAGTAGGCAGATTAAGGTGGAAATGATACTATTAACAAATTGGGAACTCAAAAGAGTCAATTGTTCTGCAGGGCCTGGAGAGAAGAAGGGAGATAAAGATGAGGAGTTTCATTATAGACTAAGTGTGAAATGAAAGACAAGTGAAAATGTCTGGCAGGTAGCTAGAAACTAACAGCCCAGGGCTAGAAGGAATGATCTATATAAAGATGATAAAATTTTAAAGTAAAGGAACAGAACAGAGTTGCAAAAGATCTTGGTGACTTAGGGGCTAAAAAAAAAAGAAGCGATTAAAAAAAAAAATCAAGAGACTGTTACAAGCAAGGAAAATATAAAGACGCTACAAGCAACTTTCAACTACAATTCTCTGAGAAATACTGTCAAACTGAGGTTTAACAAAGAACTGTTAATGGAAAGCTATTCCTTAGTTTTCATAAGGAAACAATACAAGGCAGGTATCAAGGCAGATCAGGACCCCAATCCGTCCCCCACCAAAAAATAAATAAAACCCTCTCCAAATTTTCATAAAATTCAATTAGAATCCTAAATATCAAAGACTGCAACAATTTCAGATACTTGTGGTAAGACTTTAAGACATGGTGAAGATTTTTATAGCAACTCCTGCTTTTCAAGAAAATAGAAGAAATCTGGTTGAGAATCCTGTTCAGAGCAGACATGTAGCTACAAAAAAAAAAAAAAAAAAAAAAAAAAAAAAGCAACATATGTCAGCTCAACCATCCACTTCTTGATTGTATATAAGATGTTCCCAGCTTAAAACTGCTCCTTTCCTTAGTCACTTAACTAGCATTATACTCTGAGGTCAATTTCCATAGGACCCCAACTCTACCTCACAGGACAACCAAATAGAGATGTACTTAAATTTAATTTTCAGACCCAATCAATCTATACACAAACCTCAAAATCTACTTACCCTGAGGCAGATCACTACCACTTGGATCACAGGAATAAGGTGGTGGTGGTGGTGGTAAGTTTGGTGCCTCTCCTACCTCAAAAGGAGGAGGAAGAGGTGGTGGAACAGGTAGAGAAGCAGCAGCAGCAGCAGGAATAGAAGCAGGGAGATATGGATAGGATGATGAAGGAATCACTGAAAAAAGAAACAAAAGTAAGTAACAATGCACAACTAACACCTTAAAAGCAGCAGTTCAGGGCCTCCCTGGTGGGTAGTGGAGGGTTGTCTTCAGTGCTATCACCTGTTGTGGCCTAAGTTTGATCCCTGGCCAGGGAGCTAACCTACATATAGCACAGCAGACCTCTTCTGTCTCACTCATTGCTCCCCTCTGCGTTGTGTTTCAGTAGATCTACCAGTCTGCTCCCCACACTGTCTCTGGTGAATCCTCTCACCCCTGCACCTCTGGCATATACCTTAGTTCTTTCATGCATAAATAAAATCTTTTTTTTTTTAAAAAAAGCAGTAGTTCATCTTTTACAAATTCTTGTGTGTCTCCAGTATGGTCAAACAACTCTAATTCTTATAATTTGACTTATAAACAAAAACTTGAAAGGTGAACTGCCTGTGGGCTGAAAACTGGGAATTCATTACAGGTTATTCTGAATTAAGGAAATTACTTAAAATTAAAGGGGAAAAAATGGAAGCAGCAGGGCTCAATCAAGACTTTTGAACATGGGCTAACAGGTATATAAAAAAATACCATTAAAGAAAGTTTTAACTTGGCTTAATACTCAATTCAAAGTTAACAATGCTTTCAATCTGCCATTGTTAGTCAAATCACAAAATGCAAAAACTAGTAAGAGACTCAATTGCACAGATCATGGACTTAAGTAATCCCACCAATTTCTTTTTTTAAAAGATTTATTTATTTATTTATTTATACAAGCACCGGGTACAGTCAGAAGTGCGGGAAGGTGAGAGAATTCACCAGAGCCAGAGCGGGGAACAGAACAGGCAGACTGACAAAATACACTGCTGAGGGGAGCAGTGGGCGCGGCAGGAGAGATCTGTGCGCCAAGTGGGACGCTTGCCGGCAGCAGCTGCAGAGGCTGTGCGCAGCTTCGCAGCCCAGCGCTCAACCGCTGCACCAACGGGAAGGCCCAATCCCACCAATTTCTACCCATAGCATTAAAGGAATATAAGGAACTAAATCATGAGTTCCATTTGTAACGATATACCAGAAACTGAAACAAACATGCTGGATGGTATATCTTACCCATTTTAACTTTCTATGCCTGTTACTATTGTTTAAAAACAACTCATTTTATGAGTTTGTTTTTGACATAAGAAATTCAAATGTTTGGGCCTCCCTGTTGGCGCAAGGGGTTAAGCACCGCACTATGAAGCAATCCCCAGCCTCTGCAGCATGAGTTCGATCCCCGGGTGGCCAGGGAGCAACCCACATGGTGAAACAGACCTCTCCTGGCTTGCCTGCTGCTCCCCTCAGCAATGTATTTCAGTCTGCCTATTCTGCTCCCCACTCTGTCTCTAGTGAATCCTCTCATCCCCCACATCTCTGGCCTGTACCCTAGCTCTTGTATGCATAAATAAATCTTTTAAAAAAATTCAAATGTTTAAACGTGAATACATTGCTCTGTGACAATGAAGGAAACAATGTAGTTCCACTCTAGTAAAAATAAGTATCTTCATGCATACACAGTATGACAGATAAATTTGTTAAACGTTCCAGCAAAAGATGGATGATACAACCCTTCAGTTACTAGAAATAAATCATTTTAGTCAACTTAGAAATTTAAGTACTAGATTTTATCATTGTGTTTCTTGTACTATAATTTTAACCCTTAGAAGTACAGCAAATCATCCATTTGTTCAATAAAGGCTTAAATTCAGTTTCAGAACAGATAGTTTAGTATAGGAACAGGCCACACAAAGTAAAAATTTGTTTTTCAGGTACTTCAGTGAAAGGAATTGAAGGCCAAGTTTTAGAAGTAATCTACAGTTTCAGTCACTGACATAAATACTAAAAAATACAGCTCTATGCAGTGCCAAAAACTCAAAAACACATGAATTTTACTGTATTTACAGTAAATTTTAAAATCTTGCTCAAATCTTGGGAGTGTTGTCATATGTAGAGATTTCTACTTTTGCGGTGGAAGATCAATTTAATAATCAGAACATCTCCAAATGTTCTAAAGGCTTTATATGGGTTTGTTTTCTATAAAATCATGGCTTCTTCAACAAAGCTCCTTTCTTATTCCTTTCAAACTAACACACTGCAAATGGAATAAATTAGCTAAAGATAGAATGTGATTATGATCGCTAGGTAAAAAATCAACTTCTAGACAAACAGGTAGCTAAACAAGTTCTCACAGATGTGAGAGAATCAAAGGTATCAGAGATTTGGAGGTTACTTTGCCTGAATTCACCTTCCTTGTAAATACATATTACAAAAAGCCCTTATCAAAAAAGTTTTATAACTTCCAATTGCTCCAGAGATGCGCAAGCATCTGCACAGGCTTAATGGGTATAATTTAAGGGAGGGATGGTTCTAGGACAACTGAAACAAATTTTTCTAAAATACTAATGAAAACCAACCACATTCAAAATGCTATTTCCCCCTGTCCAGGAAACTGTAGTCTGCCTCAGGACATTTCAGAAAAAAACATGAAAAACAGTAAGCCCCACAGATCTCTAGATCACTGGGCAGGGCTGGGACTAAGATACACTGAGGTACTAAAGTTAAGGGACCACCAAATTAATGCATCGTGGATATCGAAACTTTATAAAGACAGGATCCAAGCCTGTACTGTATGATCTCAGGATAAATACCTCAACTCACCATAAGCCTTGCCCAAAAATCCTCCTTATTTAAAATTTTGATAGTCTATTGCGGATTTTTTACATACATTTTGATTTTTTTAAATAGCGTAAAGTATCATTTATCTTGCTCACTATGGTGTTTTGGCACTCCCTTGCATTTTGCACCCAGGAAATGTGAGTCACTGGTCCCAGCCCTGGCAAGTCTTGGGAATAGTTACCAAAACCCAGTTAACAGAATTTAATGGTGATGAGTTAGGAAACTGATATTAAAGGCAAGCTTAGCCTGGTTACCTGGCTGCTAAGAAATGACTTAAAGGAGGATGGGATGTGGCTGCCAGAGACATGAATTAACACAACGGGAGACATGAGCTGTTTCATGTGGATAACTGACAGGAATGATAAAAAACTAAAAAAAGCAGTCATGACCTGGTAGAGGCATACCTGAGGTTCATAAGAGATTCAAAGAACAAAATGGAAAATAAATGAAGGCAGTATACATTTTTAGAAGAAACTACACAGAACACAAATCTGGCATTTAAAGGGTAAGCTTTCAATGATTCTTCACAAATGAGACATTATAACGATTGATTCACCTTATCACTTGATTTTTTTTAAGCTCAGACATGTGCTTTTGGAATCAGAAGTCAGTACTTTCCCTTTACAGAGTAATAAAGCCAGGTCTATATTAACATTTCCAATAAAACTTTCTGTGGCCATTAACATATAGTGTATATTTTTGTTCCAGGCACTGTGCTAAGCAATTGTTTTTATTATAAACCAAATAAGTAACAAATCAAATATATGATTTAATGAATTGTTTTAAAGTGAATACTCTCAAGGTCAAGAACTGAAACTTTGCCACCACGCCATAGAACTTCCATGTGCCCCACCCCAATCCCAACTCTCTCCCTTCCACCATAATTAACCATTATCCTTTCCATTTTAAGGAAATGCTTCTTTTTTAAGTGTGGTATCACCCAAATGTGAATCCTCAGATACGATTTAAAGTTAGAATCTTGAATCCCTTTTGACCTATTGTCCCTTACTCCATTCTTCTTAGTTTTTCTTTTCAAACAACCTGGGTCCTTTTGACCTGTTGAGTTTACACGGAGAATTCTGTGGACTATATAATCATAGCGCAATTCAACATGTTCTGCATTTCTTGCAAATAAGCATAACTAGACCTAGGAAACTAAACATAGGACTGATTTCTTTGGCACATCTAAGTAGGCAATGTCTATTACTGATGTTAGCAACTGCTAACATCTGTTAAATACCCATCCATTAAGGCTGCAAAATGATTATATTCTGCCACTTCTTTCCCACTGAATAGTAGGAACATTTCCCCTCAATCTCTCACCTTATTTTCCAGTTTTCAAGAAAATGAATTGGTTTCCTATCATCCTCTTAAGGTAACCAATTTTAAAAATATCATTAGGAACTTTTAATATATTTAATATGTTCTAATCTATTGCAATGATCACTGTTGAGGTGTTTCAGCTTTGGCCAGGTGGAAGCCATTTCAAGATGGCTCCTGAGTCCTTTGACATGACCCCAGTCTACGATAGCTTCTAAGCTTATCTTGAATATTTCCTGCCCAGACTTGGAAGCAGCCATTTCTCCATGAAATCTGTTTTGTATATGAGAACTGGTATTTTAAGACAACAGACTAAATGCTAAAGATACTCATTGTTTCTAAAGTCTTTTCAGTGGTCAGTTAGGAAATAAACACACATTGAAGATAGAATAGTCTCTTTATACTGATATTCCCAATTCCAATTGGAGGCCATAAGTGCTTTTATTTACTCTTTATTACCACCGTATTACCTTTCTTCAATACTGAGGCTCCCAGTTTGCAAGGACACAAAGCAAAATTAGAACATTCCATACTCCCAATTTGTTTTGGCTTACAATAAATCCTCAGAACTGAGGATCTAGATAAAGAACCTGATATGATGACTGAGAGCATTAAACAATGATTTGGGCACATGGTTCCTCAATTCTCCTGTTTTAAAAAATCACCATATTATTTCTACTGCCCAAACAAAAGGCTTTATTTAACATAGTATATTCTCAATCTCTTGGGTTTCATTTTGTCTTAATTCTATATTTAATACTACTTATGTTTATGTCTCTAATTGTCTCAGCAGTCTAACAGTCAAAATTCATTCTCTGGTTTACTGTGGTCCATCCAAAACAACTGTTTGGGATGGTAGAAGTATTCTATTTCTGTACTGTCCAACAAATATCCACTAGTCATATATAGCTTTGAGCACTTGACAACTGAAGATTTTATATTTAAAATTTGTCACATGTGGCTAATGATACCTTGCTTGACAGTATTGCATTAGTAGATTCCTCAGAAAGAGCTCATGCAAATACTCTGAATTCTTACAAACTGCTCTTTAGGTTTGAAAATCAGTTTGGATAGGTATAAAGTCTTTGGTTCATCGATTCATTATCTAAAATTATGCTCTAATTTCTTGCAGCATAAAGTATTGCTGTCAAAGTATCATGATTATATTTCCTTTATACTCCTATAGGTTCTTTGATCAAGATAATCAGAGGATTGTTTTTCTTTAAAGTCCAGTCATTTCACTAGAATATCCTAGTGGTTGTTTTAAGTAAATATTGTCAGCGATGCAGAGTATTTCATATTTCAGTATGTAAAAATTTCACCAAAGCTTTCTGGATTCTAGTTTTTATTACTTGTTCCTTTAACTTACTTTGGTTTTCTGCATCAGGATTTCTACCTAGCATTTGAGTTCCTTTGCCTAACTTCATTTTATATTTCTTCCCTTTCTTAATCTTCTTCTAAAGCATTATCTGTTGTATAAATTTGGCCTCCCTGGTGGTGCAGTGGTTAGTCTCAACATTATGAAGCTATCGGCAGCCTCTGCAGCACAAGTTCGATCCCCGGCCAGGGAGCTGATCCCCATGGAGCAACAGACCTCTCCTCTCTTGCATGCTGCTCCCCTCAGTAGTGTATTTCAGTAGAGCTGCCTGTTCTGCTCCCCACTCCCTCTGGCGAATCCTCTCACCCCCGCACCTCTGGCCTACACCCCAGTTCTTGTATGCATAAATAATCTTAAATTTGGTCCTGTTCCTTTTAAGTCTTCATTACAGAAATTACTTTTAATTTCTAATGTTTTCCTGAGTTGTTACCTAATCTGAGTTTTTCTAATTCTGGCCTATGATATTCTTTAATGTTCTCAATTATTTCATTAATGCAAGAGACTAAATGCTCTAAGCTCATTTTGCATTGTTAGCTTAGTTTACTTTAGCTTGGTTCTGTTCAATGGACACATTTGTGACAAGCTTTTACAGTAGAGATTTTTGCTTTTTTTGTCTTAAAGCATCTTTATACAGTAGTTGACCTTAATGCTTTTCTGCTAGATTTTAGGTAAACTTATTTTTCCATGAACTTGAGAGTCAGGTGAGGTATACAAAAACTTTTCTTATTTCCTAAGGCTCCCATTTCTATTGCTTTTGTGGTGCTCAAAAACATGACTCCTTCCTGAGATTCTTGGCTCTTTCAACATTAGTCTGGACTTGTTCTTTTCCCTATCTTGATTACTTCTGATTCCACTCCCGGCAGTTTCCATTTCAATTTCCTAAAAGGGAGCCCTGGAGGTCAGTTTTGGCATTTCTTTAGGGGCCAAACGGCTCCAAGTGCTTCAGTCTTTTTACCATATACCCAAGGCACTCACCCAGTACACTGAAGAGGTCAAATCCCTTCTCGGTCTTAGCTACGCCTTCCAAATATTAACTCTCTTTGGGATTCTTCTTTTCTCGGGTCCAAAGACAATATCCATGATGCTTAACTACTTGCTCCCACACAGACCCTGATAACATGCAGGTCTTATGACTAGTGGTTTGTCCCTCCCTGCTTAAATTTTGGGTTTGCTGGAGATAGTGTGTCACCTATTTATTAAGTGTTGTTCGTGGGTTTTGGCTTTGCTATTTTCATTTTTACATGGGGGTGTCAGATTGAAAAGCTATGCTACTGTTGCCACCACCTTTCCAGTTCTGAGAATTTCAAATTATCTCACTGGTACTTACAACCACTTCATAAATGGGTAGTAACAGTACCCACAAGCACACAGACAAAGAAGTTTAATAATTTGCCGAAAATTATATAAGTAGTGAGTTATAAAACCAGGATTCTAATTATCTCATTGGTATATGACAACCACTTCATAAATGGGTAGTAACAGTACCCACAAGTGCACAGATAAAAAAGTTCAATACATAAGTAGTGAGTTATAAAACCAGATTCTAAGGTAGATCTCTTAAATTCTAGAGCCTAGTTCTATATTATGACATTTGTAGGAAAATGATTTACTTTACAAAAATGTATTTTATAGCAAATTTTCAGGAACTCTGTGAAGCACGAAACCCCGTCTCCCCTTAATTCCTGTATAATAAAACAACTCAAAGTTTGAGAAACTAATACAAGTCCTACAAATAGTGGGGGTAAGCAAAAATATAGCTTCAAAATCTTATTAAGTCAAATTTGCAAAAACAATTGAAACACCTATCCTCACATCTCATGGGTTCTTTGACTATAGAACATACTTTATTAAGTATTTAAAAAAGCTAAACAGGGCCTCCCCTGGTGGTGCAGCAGTTGAGCGCTGGGCTGCGAAGCTGCCCCACAGCCTCTGCAGCACCGTTCGAAGCCTGGCCACCGGTGAGAGTCCCACATGGCACGACAGGCCTCTCCTGCTGCGCCCGCTGCTCCCCTCAGCAGTGTATTTCATCAGTCTGCCTGTTCTGTTCCCAGCTCTGGCTCTGGTGAATTCTCTCACCCTCCCGCACTTCCGACTGTACCCAGTGCTTAAATAAATAAATGTAAGTTATTTAAATATAAATAAATCTTAAATATATATATTTAAAAAAGATAAATACTGGAAATTAAAGTAATCCTATCTAATCAACTAGAATTGTTGTATCTACATATTCATGAATAGGGAAAGAGGCTTCCAAAGAAAGCGACCACTAATAACCTACCTGGCCTGCCTTGTGTAGGTGGAGAAACAAATAGAGGCTGTATAGCATTCTGTGAGGAAACTGAAGTGGTACTACTAGCTTGATTAGCTGTTGCACAGTTAGATAAGACTGGAGCTGGATCATTATTGGCACGGGAAGCTCCAACTGCTGCAGAATTTACCATCACCTGTAAGTGTGGAAGAAAGTTTAAAACTCTTAAGTTTGGTTTCTCAAACAATATTAGTCTCTGATGCTAAATTTCAGGAAATAGTATTTTGATTAACTAAACAGTGAGAAATCAATACTTATGTAAATCCTCTATAAAAAGTTTTTCTTTTAGAAGTCTCCATATTAATTTCAGAGCTTTAACTTTTATTCTTTTTTTGAAAAGGTAATAATACATTAATGATTCAAAAATCAAGTATAAAATTACATACAGTGACGTTTCCCCCACACTTCTGTCATCTATCTGCCCAATTTCCTGCACAGAAAGGTAAGTTCTGGGTTTCCTACATTACTTCAGTGACCTATAACAAACATTTTATTATATGCATATATATTTCCCTATGCAGAGAGCATGGCTTTTTTTTCTTTATGAGACTGCAATTTGTTTTTCTGATTAGGCCAGAGCTACTTCCCCATGACACCCAATAGGGGTTGTACAGGGACATTCAATGGATGGGACAACTCTTTCTAAAGACAAAATCCACGCTGGCAACCTCCATTTCCTAACCACTACACTGCAGTGTAGCTGCTATCCGCTCTGGTCATCAGAAACTTTATTCAAAGTCACCAGTAGTCTCCAAGGCAACAAATCCTAACAGACATTTGTGAATACTTGTGCTGCCTGACCTCTTGGCAACAACTGACATGTTTGCTCCTTGAAACAGTCTCTTCCTAGGGCTTTGATGATAAACTCCTGCTTCTCCTCCTTCCTTAGCTATCCCTTCTCTGCCTTCTTGAAAATTTGGTGATCCATAGGTTCTGTTCCAGATGTACTTCTCAATTTCTTCCTTATCCCAGGATGACCTTATTTACTCCTATGGTTTCAGATCCATTTTTGATGCCTAGACTTGGCCTAATCTACAATAGAGCTTCCCATTTAAGTTTCATTAAAATAGCAGAGACTTGACAGGTAATTCATATTAACTATCTCATTATGTAAGAGGTTCAGAGTAGACAATATGCAGTCTAACACCAGCACCCAGAACAGTGTCTGGAACACAGCAGTTTCTCAATTTGTTGAATGAATTTAGTAATCACTGTGCCAGGCACAACAAGGTGTAACAATACTTAAGAACATAAGCAGCTTCTTTAAGTATGATGGAGGGCAAAGAAAAAGTAATTACTTATTCCTTTGTTCAGACCACTGCAACTGACTGCTTGATTAACACTATGAAGATTACCTTCTGGGGATAGTCATATGAGGTAACTGTATCCTGAGGAGACATAGAGCATGGTCTTCTGTCCTGAAGAGACTTTAATGAATAAAGAAATAGTTAAATAAAGGGAAATTAAGAAACCAAATAATACATCACTAAAGTATCTGCCTTCTTTCAGTATCTTCTAAGACCAAATGAAAGTGATGTCTTGAAAGCATAAATTTGGAAGTGACTACTAAGACCAACATTCCAAAGGGTACCATTTTAGTCACTGATTTAGATAATTGTTCTAGTTCCTATCTACAAAGATCCTCATCACAGCTAACACTAATCGCAATGAAAACACTAAAATGTTAACTGAGGATTATTTACTTTCTTGGAGGCCTTTCTTGTCTTTCAAGTTCAAAATCAGGACCAACAAAAGTGCTAAAAGAAAACATTCCATCTAAAAAGGCAGCTTGGGACAAGGGTAGATAATTGGTTATTCAGCCATCCCTTCTAGCTCAAGACCTTCTTTTTCTTGAAAGTAGAGTGATTTGTTTATTCACATTCTTCTTTTCAATCCAATTTACCACCTTATCCTCACTTGCAATCTAATGAAAAACTCATTTTAAAAGGCTCTGAGTTATCTTATGAATGACAAATTGTCACAGAAGCAAAAAAAACATGTAGCAGCAGACACTGGTAACACTAAGAGCAGGGAACTAGGGGAAGTAATCCACAGGAAAGAACAACACCATGACCACAAAAGATGAGTCCAGTTTAACTTGGACTTAAGAGTGTATGTTTCTAAAATTTGTGTTTAAGTATAGCCAAAACATCTGCCAAAAAGCAAGCTAGCCCTGGTTCAGAAAGCCGAGTGTAAATGTTAAACAACTCTAGAGAAGGATTTCTTTGAGAATTGGGCATGGAATTAGGTAGAAATAAATGTTCATGGTTTCTTAGAAGACTGTGCCTGAAGATCTTTAAGAGGACCTCTCACCTCATAGAAACTTGGTATGGATTTGAAGACTGGAGAATAGAAGTGAGCACATCAAGAGATCAAAAGGTACTGTACGTTAAAGTTCAGAATAAAATGGAACGTGACAACTGAATTAAAGGTGCAGAAAGAAAGAATTGAAACCTGTCATCCCTGATGATGAAATCTTTACCTGCTTTTTAACTTGAGTGGCTATTATAAGAGATGGCATAAAAAGCATGTAATAGAACAGTAATGGAGTGAGGGGAAAAACTTTCTCTAGACTGGCAAAAGGAGGAAAGGACAAAATAAAGAGAATTACACATCATATGTTCTTCGACTTTCTAAGATGTATTGCCTTATCAGTAAAAACAAATATTTAGTATCAATAAAAACGAATAATTTAGTACATAGTACATCAAGCTACCAAAGTTAAAAGTAGTCATAGAAAATAGTGTAGTTACTCAAGTTCTCCATAAATATTCCAGAGTTCCCATCTGCATACATGGCCTCATCTAAACTTAGATATAGCCAGCTGACTTGTGTAGTCAATGAAATATTAGCATTAATATTAAGAGGCATTATTAAATTTCCCTATCTTCTGCCCTGCCAAGGTGATTATCTCAGTTCCTGACTATGATGAACAAAAAGCTTGCTACCAACCAGTACTGGACATGTAACATTACCAAGAACAACCGTCCTGGTTAAGCTGCTGAGATTTTGGAGGGTAAGGGGAGTTACAAGTATACTGAGGCATAAGCTAGCTTGACTACAACAGTAATCTATTAACTAGAAATAGTGTTACGATAAGGAAAACCTCAGTTGAGAAGGTGGTTATGAACGTGTATGAACTTGTAACTATTAGGGGCAGAGGTGTGGAAAACAGAATGTTAGTTGTGCGCTTTGATTACTGTTAGCAAAGGTTAGGCAAGGTATCTTAAGACATATGCATATATATAGGGGGCCTCCCTGGTGGCGCAAGGGGTTAAGCACCACACTATGAAGCAATCCGCCACCTCTGCAGCACGAGTTCGATCCCCGGCCGGCCAGGAAGAAACCCATATGGCGTAGCAGACCTCTTCTGTCTTGCCTGTTGCTCCCCTCAGCAGTATATGTCATCAGTCTGCCTGTTCTGTTCCCCACTCTGTCTCTGGTGAATCCTCTCACCCCCCACATCTCTGGCCCATACCCCAGCTCTTGTATGCATAAATAAATCTTTTTTTTAAAAAAAAAGACATGCATATAGAAAAGTAGACTTCAGGCAGGAATGAATGGGAATAGAGTCCTTGAATACAGGAACTTGCACTGAAGAGGCAACTGCTTTCACCCAAAACTATAAAAGATACAACTGATTACTACTCTGACCAACAAAGATCACTTAAAATTTGGCTTTTTGGGCATCCCTGTTTGCGCAGCGGGTTGGGCACAGCGATGTGAAGCTGTTCTCAGCCTCTGCAGCACAGGTTAGATTCCCAGCCGGCCATGGAGAAACCCACATGGCGCGGCAGACCTCTCCTGCCTAGCCCGCTGCTCACCTCAGCAGTATCTTCAATCTGCCTGCCTGTTCTGTTCCCACTCTCTCTGGTGAGTTCTCTCACCCTCCTGCGCCTCAGATCTGTACCCCAGTTCTTGTCATAAATAAATCTTTTAAAAAAATTTGGCTTTGAATAATCAAATCATTTTTTAAATATCTGACTGCATTAAAATATCCCAAACCATGAGTCCAAATAAAGATGTTCTACCCAGTAATTCTTACAGCACTTGAAAAGAAATGGCTCACTAAAAAGCATGCAATGGCTCTTCCATCAATGCCGAATAACCTCAAGATACTTGCAAGAGTAGAGACACAAAGGCATAAGAAAATAAAGAATTATAACAAATCTGTGTAGTGAATCTACTAACAAGAAACAGAATTGGCAGTATGGCTACTGGCAAAAAGAAGGAATCAAACAAAAGCAGCATAATGAATTAATCATACAACCAAACAATGAGCAGAAAACAACCTCCCATCTGAGATCAAATGACCTCTGTGCGCCCAATTTTCTGAATACAAAAGCTAATTAGACTATTCCGCTACAAGGATTATTTGCCAATGCCTACTTCAAGGAAAAGGGCCTTGGAGTAACCAAGGGTCCCTTCAGGGAACCGTCCCCATGCCTAAGTTGGGGGTCCTCACAATGTCTGTTACAATGTTAGAATTACTACAGGTTAGTAATTGTTTCTCCTATTTTTCCCCTTTCTGTATGGTAACTTTTATCACAATGGTTCAGTATCTGCCCCACCTTTGTAAATTATGTGAGGAGGTGGTAAATAACTTTATATCTTTGTATTCTTGGTTTTAGGCCATCAGATCAAGAAGAGCCACAGCTGGACCAAATACAGAGTAATGCACATTACCCAGAAACCTTGGGCTTTGAGTTTAATTACATTAAATAGGATTTTTAGGTTGCCCCCTTTGAGGTGGAAGCAAGTGTTCTGCCTATGGGAGGGAGTTCAATTTGGATGTTGTGGATCTAAGTGCTGTTAAAATATTTCAAACATTTTGACTTCAAGTTACAGAAAAGATTCTTCAATGGGACATGCTTTGGCATAGAAAAGAAACTGACAAATAGTCAGCTCCAATTGTCAGCTGCACCAGTCAGTGACCACCACTTTTGTTATCTGCTTTGGCAACAAAGGATGGAGATTCCATCAGCCTGAGTCCCTGAAGAGAACCTTCCTGAGGACCTCCAATGGTTATGTAGCATAACTAAGAAATGAACTTTTGTTATATTAAATAACTGATAGTTAATGGTCCATTCTCACTAACAGAAAAATGGTAAAATACTCAAAAAAGAAAGGTCACTGCTAATGCTTGAATTTCTTCTTGTAAACACATATTAGGAATACCTGAATAGATTAATTTCAGAAAAGGATGTAATGACTAATGGTTAATTTCTGGGTCTCAATTTCTTCATCTATAAAATTTAAATTTTATAGATTTAAATACATTTACAGCAGGTCCTTATGTTACATTCATTGTCATTTCATCATAAAGTTGATGAGAAAAAAATAAGATTCCTAGTCAGGGCCACTGTATGTGTGAAGTTGCATTCCCATGTCTGTGTGGGCTTTCTCCAGGTAATCCAGTTCCCTCCCATATCCCAAAGATGTGCACATTAGGTTAACTGGTGTGTCTGAATTATTCCAGCCTGAGAATGTAGGTGTGCATATGAGTGCGCTCCACCACGGAAGAATGCCTTGTGCAGGGTTTGTTGTCAACTTGCCTCCTAAACTACTGGGATGCATTGTGGCCACCTGAGACCTTTAATAGGAATAAGTGAGTTAGAAAGTAAATGAATACAAGCTATATCATACAGAAGAGCTTTGGGTCTTCATTTTACAAGTTTGATGATGCTTTTGTGGCTAGAAATATGCCATAGGAACTTACTTAACTCTTGATGATATCAATTAACCTATTTATACATCATTTAGCTTTAAGTCAGTTTCCTCAAAACTATGACTTTAAATGACTTACTGCGTAGGTATAGCTCTTAAAACAGTGCCCTAGTACACAGTAGGAGCTATAAATGCCTGTCATTATTATTTAAATACATACCAAGTTTGCTGTAGATTCAGTTGTGCTATAAACACCTGAAGTTTCATAGTCTGAGTCTAGAGGATAGTCAAAGTTAAAAATGAAAATTATTTTATAGTTTAAAACTTCTATTAAAAATAATTATAATGTTGTATTTAGATCTCACTGACCTGAACGATAAACATATTCTTCATGATATCCACCTAGAAAAAAAGATGGAAGAAGTGTGTTCTATAGAACATTTAAGGTCAGCAGAGTCAAATAGCCAGCGCTTGCTTTATCTCATATTTTAAGGACATATGTTCAAAATAAAATGTATACATATTTGAAATAAATGATTTGATCTTTCATACTAGTCAACAAATATTGAAGCCAGAGATTGGCTGGATATGGTACAAATTTGTCCTCTGAAAATCCCTTGTTTCTTAGGGTTCAGGCAGAGGTGAAAAACCCAGCTGTTTCCAATTTTTCCAGTCAGGCAAAGTGGTGATTATAAAGTAAACTCAGCATAATCCATAGCTCACAGGTGTTTTCAGGTAAATAATACATTTTAAATCCACTTGTCCTCAGAGGATGGCCCAGTGGACTGAAGTAATTTCCTTTAAGACTGCTGTAGAGGGGGCCTCCCTGGTGGTGCAAGGGGTTAAGCCACAACCTATGAAGCCGTCAACCCCTTCTGTAGCAGAAGCTTGATCCCCGGCCGGCCAGGGAGCAACCCACAGGGCCCAGCAGACCTCTCCTGACTCACCTGCTGCTCCTCTCAGCAGTGTACTTCGGTCAATCTGCCTGTTCTATACCCCAGTCTGTCTCTGGTGAATCCTCTTACGCCCCACACCTTTTGGCCTGTACCCCAGCTCTTGTATGCATAAATAAGCAAATCTTTAAAATAAGATATTTCATTGTTAAAAAAAAAAGACTGCTATAGTGGGGCCTCCCGGTTGGCCCAAGGTGTTAAGTCTCAGCAATATGAAGCAATCAGCAGCCCCCGCAGCATGAGTTCAATCCCCGGCCAGGGAGCTAACCCACATATGGCACAGCAGAGCTCTCCTTCTTGTCCACTGCTCCCCTCAGTAGTATATTTCAGTTGACCTGACTATTCTGCTCCCCACGCTGTCTCTGGTAAATCCGCTCACCCTCCCCACCCCCCGCAGCTCTGGTCTACACTCCTGTATGCATAAATAAATCTTAAAAAAAAAAAAACAACTGCCATAGCATTGAAGTGCAGAAAAGGTCAATCTTGGACAGTTTCCCACAATAGAAAACCCTACACATCAATCTGGATTTGATTTTTTTTTCTGAAGAGTCCAGATGGATTTATTGTGCTTTGTAATACAATTTAATAAACTGCTGACTATTTTTCTCTGAGAAACTGATAAAATGTTCTTCTTGCTATGTAAAAAAAAATATGGAACGCTTCATGAATTTGCATGTCATCTTTGCGCAGGGGCCATGCTAATCTTCTCTGTATCGTTCCAATTTTAATATACATGCTGCCAAAGCAAACACTGGATTTGATTCTTAAACACGCATGTATGGCAACCCCTCTATATAGCAGAATTTAAGAATAAATATTTGGATACTGTGCATATGCCATTACAGGTGAATAGCACATCTGAAGGTACCCACTGTGCTAAAGGGAAGGCAAAAGGATTATGTTAAGGAACAGGTTACACATCTTTAAGCAAATGTATGCCCATGCATGTACAAAGTCTCCACCACAGATCATTCTTATGCTAGAGATTCTGTCCTCATTAAATTCCCAGAAATATCTCTTCATCCACATAAATAGCAGAAGAAACAATATAAGAAAATAAAGAACTTGACTGGTAAGTCAAGTCTCCACCAGACACAAAGGACCATATATCACTTAATTCCATTTATATTAAATCTCTAAAATAGGTAAATTCATTAAAACAGAAAGCAGACTGGTAGTTGCCTAGGGCTGGGATCAGCAATTTGGGGGAAAATGGGGAGTGGCTGCTATGGGGAACAGGTTTCTTTTTGGTTATGAAAATGTTTTAAAATTGACTATGGTGCTGGCTATATAACTCTGTGACTATATAAAAACCATTTAATTGTACACTTTAAATGGGTGAATTTATGGTAATTTTATAGCAATAAAGCTGTCATAAGAAAAAAAATGTCTACTACTTACCAAGGCCATGCAATTTACTCTTTAAACCTCAATTTCCTCATATATAAGATACCACATTCCAGGGAAGGATAAAATATTGTAATTAAATAATAAATATAACGACATAGAAGATGATCAATTGGGTTGAGTGAATAGTAACATTTACAGATCAAGTAGACACCTAAGTGCAAAGAATAATTTCTTAACGTCTTACAAAAGTCACTCGTCACATAAAAGGTTAAAGTAATTACAAAAATTGGCGAGGACAACTCTAAATAGTGGCTGACTAGTAAGGAATAGATGTTTTCCATACTGAAATCTCACTAAATCAAAATTCACTAAAGACCTATGCAGAGATGAAAATTAAGTTGCTAACAATATAGTGGCCAAACTATACATCTGTACTTCTCAGCAAGCTTTGAAACAAGAACTGGTAACTCAATACAAGCTGCCAGAGTAGAGTGAGGTCATTAAACCAAAATGGTAGGTTACTTCAGAATCTTGATGTTCTAATTCCACAGAATTATTTTTTTTAAATCAAATTTTGATTTGCCATTAGTTTACATAAATACGTAATTTTGAATAATCATCTCTTAAAACAACTCTAATTGACTCACCACTGTCACTTTGACAATCACCCTCCTCGGAATTCAATGTTTGTTTGCCTGAGTTATGTCCTTGCCTTGCAACACAGTATCTTGAAGCAGCAGGAACCATAGAAGAGGGCCCTCCATGATTCTGTATCAAAGAGACACACATTCCCAAGTAGTTTCCCCTTTATAATCAGAAAAAAGGCTAGAGGGGTATTTTGAAAGTCAATTAAAGAAACTAGACTAAGAAAGTGAACTGCTGTTGTATGAGACCTATGGAAGTAAATATTTTAAAAGTACTATAGAATCAAAAAGAAATGAGCAAGAAAATAGAAAATATTAACCCATATTTTATAGGCAAGATCACTGTCTACCATTTCTTTACAAAAATGTTTATTCTCCTATCTTTAAAAGTGCTAAGATGAAAACATGTTTTCCAGGAAGGATTTTAATCAGTCGTTTGTACAAAAGTATAAAATTTATCCACTATCTTTACTTTAAAAAAAAAATTAAAAAGTAAATAGTTATTTGAATGCAGCTTTGACCTACTTACAGGTAAAGTTGGATAAGCAGTCTCATCCCCTTCTTCAACTTCATAAAAGGTAATGGTTTCTTCCAAGCCCCTGGGCATCTGTCCATTCACAGGGGCAAAGCTATACTGGCACTCCTTATTCATACAATGCATCTGGCGGTGACTACGTCTAAAGGAACTATAGTTCAAAGAACAAAAAGGGGAGAAACTATAAATATGGTTAATAATGTGTTCCTAACTCCTAAGTAACAGTTCAAACATCTCAAAGCTGAAACTTTAAAAAAATTATTACATGTATTTGCTGACTTTCAACATTTAAAATTCACTTACCGAGACCTATAGGAGAAATTATCATAACTCTGACAGCACCTTTTACCTGGGGCAGGGTAAAAACCAACTTTAGGCCCCATGATGTTTGGCCTGTTTATAAAGCGAGATGAATCCCTAAGAATAAAGGGAAAGAAAAAGTTAACTCTTTTTACACAGTAGTGCTTCACTCTCCTGTTAAATGAAATTAATACATCTTTTTACAAACACCCAAATAAAGAGCTTTGCTTTCCCAACTACTGTTACTAGGTTATTATCCATTATTAATGGATATAGTGACACATATGTGGTACTCATCTTCATGGTGTTTTACCTTCTAACATTTCTTCAACTGCACCACACTTCCTTAGGCTACTAACAAAGTCATTTGACAAGAATTGAAACATACATCTCCATCCTTTATTCTCTCTTCTTTAAGTAGAAATTATTTTGAAAAAGTATTTAGGTATTTCTAAATGTTACTATAATTCTGTACAGGAATTATTTTCAAGATCTAAACAGAGATGTACATTATGTTAAAAATCAGTTAAATCTTACCTGGGCACTCCATAGCCCCGACCTTCTCTCTGAGGTATATGCTGAGGATGAAAGAGTTCACTAGCCATAACATTTTCAGCCGTCTGTGAGTACTGCATAGAAGGGTCGTGCCCATAATTCATACTGTGCTGAAGCCGGGGTGGAAGAAATGGGTCTCCCCTGCTGTAAGCCATAGTCACATAAAACTCTTTCCCTCTAACTTTTCTGAACATCTTCTTCCGTTGTTTTATGTCCATCTCTGACATAGCTTTCAGGCAAACAAAGAAGCAGCAAATAAGTTTCATAACTAAAGCAAAAGATTCAGTGTTTCAGGGCCCCATCTGTTCCACAAATGCCTAATATCTCCGATGTTTTCTTGGGAAAAAAGCCAAATAAACATGGGGAGGGAATTTTTCTATATTTTAAGGATGCAACAGATCTCCCATTTAGAGGGCAGAACCAGCAAGTAATTTCTTTTATCAACATCTCAGCACTATCTTTAGTATTGGCATATTTGATCATGAAAACGGTGTCATCTATATTACTATTATCCAAGATATTATCCCTGTTAAATCTCTATTTCTATTATTTTATAGTTCTTTGAGAAATCTTTTCATAAAGTTTTAGAATCTAAAATCCACTTTAGGGCCTCCCTGGTGGTACAGGGGTTAAAGTCTCAGTGCCTTCAAGCGATAGCCAGCCACTGCAGCATGAGTTTGATCCCAAGCCAGGGAGCTGACCCACGTGGTGCAGCAGACCTTTCCTGTCTTGTCCACTGCTCCCCTCAGCAGTGTAATTCAGTGAACATGCCTTTTCTGCTTCCCGCTCTGTCTATGGTGAATCCTCTCACCCCCTACACTTTAGCTTAAGTTTACACAAGTCTTCACTGTGCTGCTGCATCAAGGTGCAAGGGGTGGAGGAAGGGAAAGAGGGACAGAGGAAAGACTAAGAGAAATAATGAAAAATTTCAGCATACAAACCCATTTCTGGGACATAGGCCCCAGGTATTTTCTGGAAACCTCTTCCTTTCCGACAGGGCACAGCATTCCAGGCAGGAAGAGGTGTCACTTGAGTAACTGGTTTTAAGTTAGCCAGTGGAACAACATGCCTTAAGTTAAAAAGATACCATCATGAAGTCACTGCAACACAGATTTAATTCTCCTTCAGTACACATACTGCATCCCTCCAGCTTCCTTTTCAAGTGTTTTCTACCTAAATCTCTTGACACTAGCTCTCCTATTGCCATTTTCTTTTTAGTTAGAAAAGTTGAGTAGTTTATACAATTTTGCAATTGTCTATAGCACCTATCACATTCCAGAGGAAAGATTGTTGTAAACTATTAGTTCACAGATACTTGCTGCCTCTCCTTGGATTATATTTGCCCATTCTAGAGACAACAGTGTAATCTATGTGAGCAGATAATTTAAGAACCAGCATGTGGTTTATCCTTTCATTTTTTTCTGTCTGTAGTCATGGAAGCAAGACAGAGCTGCTATCATCTTGCATCCTCTTTGCTGACCGCGAGGGACATGCTAAATGACTAAGACTAAGAAATGAGCTTTACTGTTTTAAATTGTTGAAATCTTTTGGTTGTTAGAGCAGCATAACCTAGTATAATGGTTCTCAAAATAAACCAAAAGCGTCAGTATCACCTGGAAACTTGTGGAAGTTCAAATTCTTGGTCCTCACCACAGACTAACTGAATAATCAGAAACTTTCATAGTGAGCTCAATCTGTTTTAATAAGCCCTCAGGTAGTTATAGGAATGCAAATGTTTGAGAATGACTGAAGGAGCTTATCTTGATATTGTCAGAGACTCAGTAAGCAAACCAGCTTTACAATTAGTATAAACAGTTTTTATACAGGAATTAGTATTAACAGTTTTAAATAGTTTTTATACAGCTATGGTGCTTAATATTTCCAGTAAGTCAGCTAGTGCCTAGGGCTTGGGAACTTTCATACATAGGATACTGAAATGTCACGTCAACATATACTTTTACAATTTGAGCTAAGTCATCTTAGGCTGATGATAACTTTGTATCTCCTAGAAATTTTAGATTTAGTATTACAAAAATGCATTAGGAGGTGAAGATTTTATTAATTCAATAATTATATTCTTACTTTTCTGCCATTTCTTCAATGAAAACTGTTACTGAATTGTTCTCATTTCCAACTTCCTGAATATGAGCATTATAGTATTTTCCACCTGATTCCAAGCGAACCTAAAAAAGGGGAAAAGACTGTAAGAATACATATAGTCTCGAGTCCATTGGGAGATATGGCTTCTGCCAAACAAAAATGGAGTGCAGTGTCTACGTATTGAAGCATAGTTGATAACACTGCCAGTCTGATTCAATGGAGGGGGAGTCTTACATCAAAATCACAGAAGTTTGTAACTGAAATTTAACACAAACACAAAAACACATTGCCAGCATTTCATAAATACATTTTATTGAAGTCATTACTAACTATAACCACAATCTTGGAAAAACAAATTACTGATTCTTCAGAGAAGGAACTAACCTGACACTTGTCTCCCAAATAGTATTGTCTCCCAGCATACTCCATGTAATCAGATTTTTGAAGTTCTATTAAAAGAAAATGGAGAATCAAGCTCAACTGGACTGGTTCCTTTCCTATTTTACATCAATTAATCATCTCATTTACAGTTACTGCTATAAACTAAAATCTGAGGGGAAAAAAAAATCCCAAAGGACCATTGTATCACTTTTGGTGGGTTATTCTGCCAAAATAGCTTTATAGTATTAAACACAAATAGGTGGTTGTTGGGAGGTTACAATTTTAAAGCTGATCTAACACCAGTAAAGTACAATTTGAAAATAACACTTCACAGGTTCTTCAAAAGAGCCTACTGCTTTTAACAACTTACTGTGTTCCATGAGGTTTAAAACTCCATCTAGATTAATCATACCTAGGTGCACCAGGGCTTAAGAAGTTGAATATGAAACATTAAAGGCTACCATGACTTTTTTTTTTTTTTTTAAGATTTATTTATTTATTTATTTATACAAGCACTGGGTACAGTCAGAAATGCGGGAGGGTGAGAGAATTCACCAGAGCCAGAGCAGGGAACAGAACAGGCAGACTGACGAAACACACTGCTTAGGGGAGCAGCAGGCATGGCAGGAGAGGTCTGCCGCACCATGTGGGACCCTCGCCGGCAGCCGGGGATCGAACCAGCGCTGCAGAGGCTGTGGACAGCTTCGCAGCCCAGTGCTCAACCGCTGTGCCCCCAGGGGAGGCCCTAAAGGCTACCATGATTTAAGGAGAGAGAAACAATTATTTCAACAGTTGGCAAACTTTCCCAGTTGTCAGGTAGTATTTTAAATTATCATGGGCCATACAGACTCCATCACAACTACTCAATTCTGCCATAAAACATTATTTATGGACATGGGAATTTGAATTTAATATAAACTTCATGTGTCACAATAATTAACTTTTCATTTTTCCTACCATTTAAAAATATAAGATCATTCTTAGCTCATATAACATACCAAAATAGGCAGCGGTCAGATTTTTTCCACAGGCCATAGTTTACCAACACCTAACCTACTCATTTATCAATGAGAGGGTGTAATACTTTTAAGATAAGCTTTTGTTACTACAATTTTGGGGGGAATCTTAAAATTAACCAATGGTTAGCTCCACAGTGTTTGCATATTTGAAGTCCCAAATAATCAGACTTTCAAAGATACCTCCCCACTTCTAAATCTGTTTTCTCCTTTGGATTTTAGTCATGTATTTAATAAGCTTTAAAGTACCAGGTTTGGGGGGTTTATTTTTGGTAACAGTACATTAAAAGTCTATGAGGAGCAATTTGCAAAATCATTCTCTTTGATCTGTCAGGATTCAAAAGTATCCTGTTGATTTCATTACCTTTTCTGCTGTCCAACCAAACATCAAATTCTACATTACGATAGATTTCTGGATCCAGGGCTTTGAGCACCTTATAGGGGAAGAGCATCTTTGATGGATTTTCTGGAGACTTAAACAAAAATAATGATGCTACAAAACTCATCAGCCTTCCCTTAAGTCTTCATTCTGTGAGAAGGTAGAATTAACATTCTTTTCTCCTTTTTTTCTTAAACTGTATACATATGGCTCTCCTTCTTCATTGAAACAAAAAATGAATGACAATTTTACTTGCATTTTAAAATTTCAGGAAACTAAGCAAACAAAATGTAAATAATCTTAAGGATTTTAGATGGCAGAAGGGAAGTACTGTACACAAGCAGTCAATGCAGGACACATTATAAATTTATGCAACAAAGACTGGGATTAAATATTCGGCCAGGAAAAAAAATTCAGCCAGGGCTATTCAACAAGTGTCATGAGAGGTGCAAGTGTTTCTGTACCCTTAAATTGTATGGACAAAAAAATCTGTAAAGTTTACTTCATTTTGATCAAAATCTGTTACAATTGCAAAAGCAATTGCCTTTTTTGTCTTCTTTCATAGAATCTCACCATACTCAACATTGTTCCCAAATTACCAGCATTGAGGGACATAGAGACTGTTAAAATACTTCACCTATTAGACTGCCCTCAAACTGAAGGTCTGCTTGATATTAAGCCTATAAAGATGACAAAATTTCTCCCACCCTAATAGACCAAGATCATTACCTATTTTCTTTGAATAGGGATAAGCATACGCTTTCATGAAAAAAAGAAACAGCATCAGAAGATTGATTACAAACTGAATACCTATTGGCTTTGTAGTATTACTGTAATTTTTAAAACAACAGTCTCTGAAATACTCAAATGCTCAGTTTGCCTCAAAAAAAAAAAAATCTACAATTTTGCAGAATAAAAATTTAGAGAACACTAAGCACACATTCACATTCTCAGTTTAAGACTTTCACAAAGGAAAACATTAGCAACTACTCCCTTTCCCCATATAACCAGAACAAACCATCTGACCTTAACTATTTTAAGTTATGATGCTGCAAACCAAGACTATGAAAAGTCTTTGCCCTAGAAAATCTCAAACCTTTGCTTCTTCAGTTCCTTGATTGTACCCCTCTGGTATATTTTCAACATTGCAGCTGGCATCCCATTCTTCAGTCCTAATTGAAATGATTTAGAACAAAGAGCTTTATATAAATGCAGTAGCTAAGAAGTCTTAAGTCTAATGACTATACCACCACCTAGTGGTGAAAGCACAGTTTTAAAATTGAGACAAATACTTCATTACAACATTTACATTTATGCTTCCTGTATACAAGTATCTACTACAATATATTTTGCAGATTACTGTCCACATTTCATGTCACCTATGTGGATACCCTGTGAAGATAATCCCTTTGATCCCTGTCTCCCCATGTTCACATCCTTATGTTTTCCCTCTAATTCAGTTTGCTTCTAACCATAAAGATGTAGTATCTACCTCTCTATTCTCTTGCTGACTATAAGGAAGCAAGCAACCATGTTCATCACCAACTCCATCTGGCAGGGAGCTGAGGGTCATCTCTGACTGACAGCCAGCAAAACAATGAAGTTCTTAATCCTAGCAGCTGTAAGAAACTGAATACTGCCAAAAACAACAGCAATGAGGAAGTATATCCTTCCCCAGTCAAAGTTCCAATGAGAAGAAGCCAACACATTCATTACAGTCTTAGGAAATCCAGTTAAACTGTATGTACTCAGGGTGCTAGCATGCATAAATTGTGAAACTATGTTGTTTTAAGCTGCCAAGTTTGTGGTAATATTGCTATACTGTAGCAAGAGCAATTATACACCTAGTTTTCATAAGCCTGAAGCCCTTAAGACAAATGGTGAAGAATGAAGTAACTTTCACCCTGATATATTTGGCTACCACCTTTCCCCCCACATTCCCAAATAAACTAGGGGAAAAAACCAAACCTCTTCTACCAAAAGACGTTGCCAGCATTTAACATCCAAGAAATAGGACAAGACAAAAAGATGAGGTGACACCTGACAGGCACCAAGATCATCTAAATTTCCAGACAAAACTAGGAATCAGCAAAAAAAAAAAAAAAGACAATGCCTACTTCATTATATAAAACACAAAGGTTTTGACTAAATCTATTCAATAATAGCTGCTTCCTCAAAGGTATACAACCCTTTTATCTAGAATTTTTTTTTAAATTTATTTATTTTTGCATAGAAGAACTGGGGTGTAGGCCAGGGGTGCAGGGCAGAGGGGGGGAAAATGAGAGGATTCGCCAGAAACACAGCGGGTAGCAGAACAGGCAGATCTACTGAAATACACTGCTAAGGGGAGCAGAGCGAGACAGCCCAGGTTAGCACTCTGGCTGGGGATCAAACTCAAGCTATAGAGTGACAGTGCTGAGAATTAACCCCTAGGCCACCAGGGCGGCCCCCTCAGAGGTACACAATCTATATTCCACTAAATGAGTATCAAAGGCAGACACTGGAAAGCTCCTAACACTCCCCTTAGCCTGACAAATTATTTTCTACAAGCTGGATGTGTGTGTAAAGTAACCAGTCTGAACCTCAGCTGGTTTAGGAGGAGTTCTTTCTCAAAATAGGGTCCATGGCCTTCCTATATCAGAACACTTGGTTGTATTTGTTTAAAAAGTAGATTATTCCTGCCTCCACCCTCATCTCAAATTTTGTGAATGCAAACCCAAGAATCTGCCTCTCTAAAAAGCATCCTGGTAATTTATATACAACTAAAGTTTGAGAATCATAACATTAGATAGTAAAGTCTTCTGGCAATAAAAAAAAAAAAATGATTCTGACTTGGACTGAGCCCCCAAAGCCTGAACATCTCACAATAAAACCTATCTTTTTAGTAAATCTTCCCTCATTGAAAACTGTATCTCTATACATACACACATTTATGTGTGTGTAATATCTAAGTCACAAGTTTGCCAGGTCCCTTCAACTTTCAAATGATGCACAGAAACATTAAATACAATGATCTAATAGTTATCATCCCTTTTTCCCTTTATTACCTATCTTGAGTTGAACTCTTGTAGTCAATGTGGGCATCCTCACTGCCAGTAATAGCATTGTTTCTGTTCTTTTTAGAACCACCTCGAAACAATTCAACTGCAGTCTTCAACTCTTCTTCATCCACCACAAACACATCTTTGTAGAGAATTTCATATAAAACAGCTGATGGAAAAAATAGTCAAAATTCCAATTGTCAACATAAGATTTTTATAACATGATGCTAACCATAACCCAGTACACAAATTCATTAGATACCAACAAAGCTTTACAAGATTTATTTATCGCAGGTCACTCAATTTAAAGATTGGTAACAAATCATCTGAAATTATACCCAGATATTTATAAATCCTTCACATACCCTGACAAATAGCTGCACTTGACTGAAACTGTTTTGAATACACTGAATCATAATGACCATTACTGGAATAGCAGAGTAGAATCTGAAAAGAAAAACACACAGGACAATTAAGTGATTATTACACATTCTTACATGCATGAAATACTTAAAATTGCTAATCAGAAATTAATTAATGTGGTTTTTAGATTTCATTTTAAAGTGTCTATTTGTTGCTTTCTGACTTATTTCACTAACATACTGTGCTAATTACATCCCAAAAAGCTGAGGAAGTGATTTTTTTAATTTAAATACAGATAAATGAAGCTAAAGAGATTTTCTTGACAGCGACTTTTTAAAATTGAGGTAATATTGATATACCACAGTGCATAAGATTTGGGGAAACAGGATCATGCCTCTTCCGATATATGATACCACACCACCACCAAAGCCCCCAAATTCCTCTATCATCATCTACCGGGTTCTTCCCCTCCCCTCTGCTCTTCACCCCTCGTGTCCACTGTTCCACTCTAGTATCCTCAATTCCATGGTCTTGACAATGATTTTTTGAACCTCAATCACATTGCTGTTAATATGCCAAACAAGTACTGATTCAGCTATTTTGCAAAATTACAAATTTGCAAAAGATGAGAACTTTTACAAATTGAATGAGTAAATTAAACATAATGCCTAAAGGAAATCAAAAGATGTAGCTTCACTTCTAACGATGACTGTAGAAATCAGGTCAAATACCAAATAATCCAAATTCAGATTATGGGGGGAGGAACCTTGATTAAATTGATTCAAAATGTTATCCACTGTACGTAAATAGTAATGTATAATACACTATATAGGCGGAATGCTGCTAAAGAGACTTCCTTAATGAATTAAGGTACTGTGATGTCTACAAAATAAGAAGTTAACATCTTAGCTGATTCCTTTGCTCTTTGGTTTTTTTCAAATAACAATTCAAAGCCCATGTTTACTAATATCTAAATTATTTCAGTAAAAACACTGTCTGGCTCCATGTGATAAAATGTGTTTAAAAAACTGCTCCGGGCCTCCCTAGTGGTACAAGGGGTAAAGTCTCAGCACTATGAAGCTACTGGCAGTCACTGCAGTATGAGTTGGATCCCCAGCCAGGGAGCTAACCCACCGCAGCAAACCTCTCCTGTCTTGCTTGCCAGCTGCTGCCCTCAACAGAGTATTTCAGAAGATTTGCCTGTTCTGCTCCCCACTCTGTCTCTGGTAAATTCTCTTACTTCACCACACCCCTGGCCTATACCTCAGTTCTTGCATGCATTAATAAATCTTTTTTTTAAAGCCTTTAAAAAAATAGAAGGTCAAAGGTAACAATATGAACATGAGGTATTTATTTCTTTAAATGTTTACTCTGAAGTATATTTTATGAAATGCTCATTACTAATAATGTTCATGGTTTTTAATAAAATCACTTTGAAAACTCAAAAACTTCACATACAAATCCTAGTAGCCTAAACTGAGAAATGGCAAATAAGTGTTAGGCAAAACAAGGTGTCACACAACGAAAGTGCCCTTGCTGTCACTTGGATTTTCCACTTAAATATCAATGCGAACAAACTTATTTCATACATTCTCCAAATAGACACATAAATACTATCCTTTGCATATATCCAGCTACTGATAAGTAATACCTGTGTGTGTATGTGGATGAGACTTACACGTGATAGTCTCATGGCTGCACACAATGAGTCTAACAAGTTTGTATGCTTGTGGTTCCCACTGGCTGTTATTTTCCCCTTAATTAGCTCAGTAATTCCTCTGTAAGATGTGTAAGACTCAATTAAAAATGAAGCTGTATGCACAAGGGACTATGGTGATGGTTCACAGATGATGTAGTGGTGGGAGATTTATGGGATCATACCTGAATGCAGAAATCAAATATTGCACAAAAATGAAAAACAATGCAAGAAAATAAAAAAGTTTAATCAAAAAGAAAAAGCTTGTAATCATGACTTGTATTTGTTCTCTGGGAAGTTATGTAATACAGCTAAATTCCTTTTCATTATTAGTACATTAAAAAACAGTCCTTCAGGGCCTCCCTGGTGGCGCAAGGGGTTAAGATGCAACCTATGAAGCTAACTGCAGCCACTGCAGCACAAGTTCAATCCCTGGCCAGGGAGCTACCCACATGACGCAGCAGACCTCTCCTGACTCCCCTGCTGCTCTCCTCAGTATTTCAGTCAGTCTGCCTGTTCTGTTACCCACTCTGTCTCTGGTGAATCCTCTCATCCCCCACACCTCTGGCCTGTACCCCAGCTCTTGTATGCATAAAAATAAATCTTTAAAAAAATAGTCATTCTGCCCTTTCCAAAAAAAAAAAAAAAATGGAGTTGTATAATAGTTGGAACTAGGTGACAGGTATGTGGGTATTCACTACACAAATCTTTAACTTTTCTTTATGTGAAAACTTTCAGAATAAAATGTCAAGGGAAAAAAACTGAACTAGTATTAATGGTGGTTTCTTTTGCTTTACAGAAATTTAATTTGATCTAGTCCCATTTGATTCCTTTTGTTTCTAGTCATTTGAAAAAGAGCCAAAGACATCACTAAGGCTGATGTTAAAGAGTTTGTTATTTATATTTTCTTCTAAAACTTTCTTTACAGCAAAAGAAGCCATAGCTAAAACAAAAAAGTAACCTACTGAATGGGAAGAGATACTAGCAAATCATATCCAACAAGGGGTTAAGATCCTAAATTTATAAAGAACTTGTAAATCTCAACAACACAAAAAATAACCCAATTAAAAAATAGGCAGAGGATCTTATCAGACACTTCTCAAAAGACATACTGATGGCCCACAGGCACATGAAAAGATGTTCAGCATCTCTTCTATTAGGGAAATGCAAATCAAAACAAACTATCACCATATACCCACTTCAGTGTGAGAAAGGCAATCATTAAAAAGACAAGAAACAAGTGTTGGTTGGTGAGGATGTGGAGAAAAGGATCCCCTGTAACACTGACAGTGGGAATGTATGTAGGTGCAGATAAGACTCTACCTACAACATGGCAGATTACAGACACTGGGGTTATCACTTCCCCTAAAAGCAACTATAAAAAATTTTTATTCAAAGGCAACCCAGAAGTTCCCTGATAGATATCAGTACTTTCCCAAAGATAATTTGAACGAAAGTTGGTAGCTGCTGAGGGGAAGGAGTAAGAGGAAGCAAGGGAGAGTGAGTGGGAGAGCAGATACTCCAGCCAACAGAATGGGATGAGAGCTGTCCATCCAAGGCATGATGGGGTATTGTGAATTTCCCTGAGGAAATCTTGCTTACGCATGGACCTAACCCACAACACTGGCAACTCCACACAACTTTTGTGTGGGCACAAAAAGCTTCCCTTAATGCCCCTACCAAAATAAATCAAAGAGACATCAGGCTGAGCCAGGCCAGGCCACTGTGTGGGCCCAATAACAAAGAGGAAGACTGGTGCGATAACTCATTAATCCCTTGGAAAGTACCAAGGGTGCTGCACAGATCTTGCAGCCTTGATCCTTCAAGAGCAGTGTGCAGAGGTTGGGGCAGGGTGGTGATGGTCATTATTTGTGTCCACAGCCAGACAATGGGTCACATGCCCCCAGGCAGGTGCCTCCTGCCTGTCGACAGCATCTAAGAGTGTGAGCTTTGGGGCCCCCCTGGTGGCGCAAGGGGTTAAGATGCAACCTATGAAGCTGTCCGCAGCCATTTCAGCACCAGTTCGATCCCCGGCCAGGGAGCTACCCACATGGCCCAGCAGACCTCTCCTGACTCACCCGCTGCTCCCCTCAGCAGTGTATTTCAGTTAATCTGCCTGCTCTGTTCCCCACTCTGTCTCTGGTGAATCTTCTCACCCAACACAACTCTGTACCCCAGAATATTTATGTATTCTTGTATACATAAATAAATCTTGGAGAAAAAAAAAAAAGTTGTGAGCTTTGTGGACCAGAGCTAGCTGCCCCCACTGGGAGACTCAAGCTTCAGAGATCACAACACACTGCAGAAGGGACCAATAGTGAGGCAGGGTGGGAAATTAAGACAATTAATCCACCAGAACAAAGCCTTTTAGCATACAGAAATGCAATGTATCTTGGCATATCCTACAACACATCTCATTATGTAACATAAGCTAATCTTTTCAGCATTGCCTATACCAATGTCTTGGGCCATAAAGGGTCTCTGGCTCCTTTGTCTTTGCATATAGAGTTTCCTCTGAACAGACTGCCTTTCATACTTACTGGACTCATTTTTTGATATTCTACTTACATGTCACTAATAACATGACACTTTGTAAACTGAAGGGCTATTCTATGTTTTTTGTACATACTCATAAAACATATCTTACTACAGTAAACTATATACATGCCTTATAGCTCCTTAAGCTCTTGGAGGCCAACAATTTTGTATTCATTTTGGTACCCCCAGTACCTGTACATTATAGAGACTTAATGACTGCTTAATACATTAGATGGTGGTACAACTGGTAAAGCAATTAATGTGCCCCATTTACACGCAACTTCCAATTGATGTCTCACATCCTACTCAGCTTTCTCTATTCTTAATGCCACTTCGCTAGTGTAGGTCTTCTGTCTAGATTACTATAATGGCATCTGAACAGTTCCCCCAGTGTCTAGTATCTCACCATTAAAATGTTGACCAAATTAGGCTTCCCTGGTGGCGCAGCGGTTGAGCGCTGGGTTGCGAAGCTGCCCACAGCCTCTGCAGCGCCGGTTCAATCCTGGCCACCGGGTGAGGGTCCCATATGGCGCACTGACCTCTCCTGCCGCCCGCTGCTCCCCTCAGCAGTGTACTTCTGTCCTTCTGCCTGCTCTACTCTCCGCTCTGACTCTGGTGAATTCTCTCACCCTCCCGCACTTCTGACTGTACCCAATGCTTGTATTAAATAAATAAATACATCTTTTAAAAAAAATGCTGACCAAATTTTGCTCCATGGTGTGAAACAGGACTTACAAAACTCAAACACTGTGTAGTCTATATTCACTAATCAGGATAAAAGATTCTTCTTAAAATATGTGGAATAAAAAGTATATGCTGGAACAATTTGCCTATCTGCTAGAGTTCTCAACCAACAAAACAACTACCTACTATTTTCCCAGCACCTTATTAAGTAGCAGTAGCACACTGTCCCTGCCTTCAAAAACCTTTCAGACTAATGAGAAAAAAGCAATGTAAGCAAATACAATGTGATAAATACTACAACTACTTGGAAGCTGCTAGGGGAACATAAAGAGTATAAATAACTTCAAGGGGGTTGAGAAAGTTTCAGAGGAGCTGAGGTTTGAGATACAAAGGTAAACATAAAATATGAAGATCAGACTGTCTGGAGGCATGGTATATTAAGGTTCAAAGACAATGACACTGGAAAGGAAGTCTGAGACCCTTTAGGGCACTGAATGCCAGAGTTTGAACCTTATCTTCTAAACAGAGAAGCCAACTAGGTTTTGAGTGTTTGTTTCCTATTACAGAGAAGTGACAAGATCAGTTCTGTTAGGAAGGATAGCTAACAACACTGAGGATGACTAAGTGGAGGAAAAGCTGGTGGCAGAGAAGCTTGGCATATAGGTTGACTAGGTCAATAAGGACTTCTTAATATCCTGGTAATCCAGAAGCATCATTCAATTTCTTTTAATAAAATTTACTCATTTTCTTACCTTATCTTCATAGCCATTATCTGTGACACAAGTTGGAGGCTTTCCAGGATAGCGATAAAGAATGAAGTCCCGACTACACAAGTAGAAAACAAAGGTGAGAAAAGATAATCTAGTATATGCAAAAGATAATTACAAAAACAAGTATTTGTCCATTTAAACCGTCTATTTTATTCATATAGAATAACCCAAGTGCTTAAGAAGCTAAATAATATTAGGTCAAGGTAGATAGCTAACAGCCCCTCTAAAGTCCTATGTTTTTTTTTTTTTTTTTTTTTACATGTACCTTAATGTGGAAGGAGGAAGAGTGAAGAAGACAGATTATTAATTGTACATATATTTATGAGTTTTGGGCAGAATCCTTTATTTAAAACAGATTGACAAATTTTCCTTGGTAAAAGACCAGGTAATTTCAGTTAAACATTTCAGTTTTTGCATGTCATATGGTTTATTCAATGTTGACATTATAGCATGAAAGCAGTCATGTGCATTTATTTACACATGAATTATCTTTAACTCTTCCTCCTTCCAATAAAACTTCTTGGACAATGAAATTTAACTTCATATAATTTCACATGCTATGAAACCTGTTGATTTTTTAAACCATTTAAATTATTTTAAAAACCATTCTTAGTTTAAGGGCTATACAAAAACAGAAAACAGGTCATTTAAAAGTGACAAAGACACCTGCTTAATGCCTCTTCTACACTACTTGCAGATTTAGTGAGAATAAACAGACTGCAAAACACTAGAACTAGGATTCTGATTCTACCAAGGTATGTTAACATCTCAGCATCCTAAAAACAGTTACAGAGTCTAACACAGCTTCTTAATTAAACAAGATTCCCACTAGTCCCTAACCTACAGTATATTGGTATTTTTAAAAACCATACTGCTTTCAAAAATGCCACTTTTGCAGTTTTAAAGACCAAATCAGAATTTCTAGAGCAATAGAACAGTGTTTCTCAAATTCCCATACCCCATTACTACCTCCTTAAAGAGCCTTTTTCAGATTTCTTAATTGCCCTATGAAATTTTACCACCAGATATACATTACACCTGTTTATATACCATGACTCTTTGAAGGACCACAAACCACTAATTTTTAATCTTTTTCTGTCCCCCAGAACCAATTTCTACCCTCTTAGACGCAATACTGCCCTACTGAAGATGCATACAACACTGAGAGTTAAATACACAAAATCTCTAAAATACTGACTTTTTACAAGAATAATAGCAGCCATTATAAAAGTCCTCTATTCTTCCATTTAAACTGACACAAATGCTAGATGTTCTCCTGCCCTAAATTATACCAACTGACTTTGCTTAGATCTTTTTATTCTACATAGCAATACATCAAATTTCCAACTTCTCTGTCCTAAGGGAACTCTAACAGATATCTTACCCACCATCCCCAGCCCTAAAGAAAAGGAAATTCTACTTACTTATAAATTAGAGAAAGAGCTCTTATTTCCAGCTGGCCAGCACTTTCCTAAACATAAATAGCACATAGTTTTTAAAAACATTCTGGAGCTAAGAGGCAGAATTTTTGCAAGTCAACAATTGTTTTTTAGATGCTTAGCACTGTTTTAGGTGAAGAATTTGTATAACACACTATAACTTGCTGTGAGGCTTGGGATATTGTGAACAGTTACTTATTAACATAAACTTATTCTAAAAGAAAAGATCTAAAGAACTTAGCAAGGAATTTAAAGGGCATAATATAAATGGAATTAGTGTAAGTATGTAAAGTTAGCAGGGTATTTAGTAAATGTTTTAAGTCTAGAACTAAGTAATCACATAAAATTATTTTAAATTAAGTATTTGTATATGGCTCTTAGTCCCACATAAAAGAAGGCTAACTACATATCAGGAGTCAGGAGACTTACTAAAAACAATGTGACTTCCTAGTAACATTCACTAGTACCCCCCCACCCCCATACTAAGGTGAAAAGGCTTAGGCCTGTGCTATTTGCAATGCATACTTTCACTAGTCTATGGATGATAAGGTTAACACCCATTTCTCAACATTCAACACAAATGTCAATTGCCAGCAGCCTCTAAAATTTTGCTAAAACTATTTGATTCAACACAGCTGGCTACTTAATATAGACTAGATCTCGGTTAAGTGACACAGCTAAATATTTAGATTATTCCAAATACTCTGAAAAAATTAAATCCCCACTTTTTATCTTACCTTGGGATCTCCCAACCGTTCCAGGTATTTCTCAAAAGATCCCTCCACATACTTCAAAAATAAAACAAACTTGACTTAACCAAATACATAGCATTACTGAAATCTGATTAAATTCTGCAATATTACCCTCCATCGGGTTTTTTTGCTAAGCTCAACAATTATGGTATTAAGTTACTACTCTGTACAGCACCTCAAGAAGATTTGCACATACACAAAAGTTATGAGTGGGGAAAAGCTGGATTATAAAAGTATCATAGGAACTGGTCTTGACTTATCCACACACCAGTGGATTTCATCAAATGGTATGCCTTTGAATTTCTTTTGAAATGCCAGCATAAGTAACTTGCCAATTTCCACAATATGGGGCAATGCCAATAACTCTAAGGATCACAAATTTGACAGGAGACATATACTGACAAAGCCAAATAAAGGAATTTTAGGAGGAATTTTAAATAAAAGTTCATTAGCTTCAAAATGCCTAGGGCACTAGGGAACTTTAAAGGGGATAGAAATATTCTGCATTAGATTGTGGTGGCAGGTGCATGACTGTATTACCGCAAAAACTGAAAGCATTTCTCAACTTAAAATGGTGAATTTATTGTTATGTCAAATATAACCTCATAAAAATAAAATTAAACTCAGAGAATATAACATACTTCTAATTCCATGTGGACTTATCACTAGACTTAAAACAATTTTCCCTTAATTCGCTGTTTAAACAGCTTGAGATATAACTGATATGCAATAAACGGCACATAAATAGTACAAAATTTGATTATCTGTATATACCCATGAAACCATGATGACAAATAGTGATTATACCCATCACTGCCATTAAGTCTTCTTTTATCCCCTAACTCCTGACCCCTAAGCAACCATTAGTCTGCTTTCTCTCACTGTAAGTTGTGTTGCATTTTTTAGACTTTTATGTAAGAAAATCATGCAATATGTACTTTGGGGGAGTGGACAATCTGGCTTCTTTCACTCAGCACAATTATTCTAAAATTTATCCAGATTTTTAAAATTTTACACTAAGTTTTGTTACTCAAATTGTGGTCTACAAACAAAAGCAAGCATCACTTGGGAGTTTGTCAACAATGCAGAAATTTGGGGCCCCAGCTCAGACCTAATGAATCAGAATCTGTTGATCCTCAGGTGATTTGTATATACAAAAATACTTGAGATGCACTGCTTTACACCATGGTCTTGCATTTGAAGTAACTGCCTTAATCCTTTCCCCAGGTGTGGTGAGGACTACAATTAACTCCAAGGTAATAATAGGCTTTAAAGTCAAAAAGCCTTCATAGTTTTTAAAACTCACTAAAACCTGTTAAGAAAATTAAGAGTAAACCTTGAGCAGCAGGCAAATACTCATAATAAACAGTAAGAAGAAAACAAATAGTACTGGAAGGACTAGGGGAAAACAGCCACACCAATTAGACCCCATTTCATTAATGAGAATTCAAAACTTCAATGTATACAAAGATATATTCTAAAACTTGCTTAAATGTCAATCCGTGGTGGAGCTTCAGTTACAGTTTGGCACATGAAAAGTCAGGTGTTTAGGACAAATCTGTTTCCTTACAATTAAATTTTACAAGATTCTTCAAGTTGACTGGCTAAATAAAGACCATGTGCACAGATTTAGGAGAACGAAAGGAGTTCCCATTTGTGCACATTTCAAATGCACATTTAAAAAAATATTAACACAGCCTAAGCTTTTGTGAACTATGATTAATGTTCAAGTAAGCACTGGGTATGGACTAATACAAAACAGTATATAATTTTTTGGGTTCAGGGTGTTTTTTGTGTTGAGGGGGGAGAAATAAGAAGGATAGAGATTGTTTTTTTTTTTTTTTTTTCCGTGACTTTTAATTAGAATACAAAACAGCCTAATCCTTGGAGGACATCCAGAGTAGACTAGCTAGGGGAAAGGAAACCAGGCAAAAACTAAGTATTTGCTACTGAGAGAAGAGATGACATAGCATGTAGACAATCAAAATTCACTTCCCACTTGCCACACACTCTTACAGCTTTCTCTTGGGTATGTATATATTCTACTTACAGACTCAAAAGTTTGTTGATTTTCCCTCATATAGGAGACACAAGCTTTCCTGATTTCCAAATGATGGACCTGGCTGAAAAACAACTAAAAAGAAGAGAAAGAGCTCAGTGTCAGCAGTCATTTGAAAGAGAAGCTTCTAAATTAAGACTGTGAACTGGACACATTAACTCCCCCTTATTTAAAATACATGTAGAGTACTGAAAAATAAGCTTACTAGAATTTGCTTTTGTCATCTTCACTGAGATTGGTGAGAGATGACTGTCAGGTCCCTAACTTTTCTACTTTTTATGGACCTAGCCTGTACATTTTTAGGTATTAAATTTAGATATATTTCAAAATTTTCTTTGACAGCTTTACCTTATCTCTATTACATTGCAAAGTGACACTTAGGGAACAGAAAAGCTAGCAAAAGCATATCAACATATTTGGACTAAAAGGCATAAACCAAGCTAATAAGTAGCAGAGACCCAAATGTTTTCACCAGGTTAGAGAAGAGGAATTTTTTGTTTAGGTTAGGCTGTTAGGTTAGGCTTTGATAAGTCTTAGATACAATACCATGCCACATACCAAATTCTAAAAACTCATTATAGGTAGTATGTGTTTTCCTTTTACCTGCTCCGAAATAGCCCGAAAGAGGCAAGAGGCATCCTTGGCAGTCAGTTTCCGAAACAGCCCTAAGCTGCCTAAATACTCATCCATGGACGCCTCATTCAGAGACTTCTGGCCGCAGTACTTTTTCCATCCTTTATGCATTGTGTACAGGGGGATGGAAGTAGGGACAGGAAGAAAGGAACTCAAGTGTAGCAAAAAGGAAAAAGCAGGGTGCAGGTAGGACTGGGTAGCAGTGACAAGGGATTGCTTATGCAGGTATCCAGAGAGTAGCCCCAACTCTAGGTATGAGAAGGCAGTTGGAGTCAGCGCAGCAGAATCTTGGCATTCCTCGGGAGCAGGAGAAGCAAAGGGCCGGCTTGCTCAGAAGTCAGAACTCGGGACCCTGTGAAAAGAAGATGAAGAGCCAATGCTCCTAGGCATAGAGAACTCAACTAGGAGACACAGGAGGGAGAAGGCACTTGGCAGAGCTACCTCATTGGTAGGATTGGTAGGAAGGGTGGGATTAATCCAATCAGCTTAAGGTTGAAAGGAGTACGACTAAATTCACAGCTTAACTCAGAGCAACTGCTACACAAGGCTGCAAAGGGGCTGCAATAATGCTCAGGTGCGTAAAATGCATCATGGCCCACATAACATTGCTTTAAGATCTCTGCCCAGAATTTTCACCTAGGCTCTGCCCAAGTTCCGAACCACTAGCCTTCAGTTTCATGGTGAAGGAGGGAGGAATTTGAATCTAATTATCTAGTAAGCCTTGGTATTAAAAATATCCTTTTTCAAAGATTTATTTATACAAGAACCAGGGTACAAGCCAGATGTGCGGGAGGGTGAGAGGATTCACCAGAGACAGAGCGCGGAACAGAACAGGCAGACTGATGAAATACACTGCTGAGGGGAGCAGTGGGTGAGGCAGTAGAGGTCTGCTGCGCCATGTGGGTTTCTCCACAGCCAGCCGAGATTGAACCTGTACTGCAGAGGCTGCAGACAGCTCCACAGTGCAGCGCTCAACCACCTGCACCACCAGGAGGCCCTTAAAAATATCTTAAAAGACAGTGGCAAGAGGCACCCTCTCAGTCTATAGGGGTAAAGCACTGCACTATGAAGCAATCCACAGCCTACCCGGCCAGCCAGGGAGCAACGCACATGGCACGGCAGACCTCTCCTGACTCACCCACTACTCCCCTCAGCAGTATACTTAGGTCAATCTGCCTGTTCTGCCCCCCCCCCAACTCTGTCTCTGGTGAATCCTCTCACCCTCCCGCATTTTTGGCCCATGCCCAGCTCTTGTATGGGTAAATAAATGAAAAATTTTTTAAATGTTTTTTTAAAAAAAGGTGCTGCAGCAGTTATCAGGATATTTCAGGTATTGAGGTCTTAAGTAATCATCTCATTTAGTTCTCCTATGTAATAATAACTAACCCCCTGCTAGAACCACAGTAATTAATGCCATCATTTAATTACTGATGCTAGAAAATGCTGGCACAATTCTAGACTAATGCCTCTAAACTATTGTATATCATTAACAAAAAGAAAATTCAGTGTTACTTTAAAAATTACAACACTGAAAATTTAAACTAAAGCAGCTTGAGAGGTTTATCTTATCCATAATCTTTCTAGTAGAACACATTTTAGATGCTGTGACACAGTATCAGGAGTATTGGGCATAAGGAGAGGTATATTTCCCTCAACATCATAAAGGCCATCTATGACAAGCCAACAGCCAGTATCATTCTCAATGGTGAAAAGCTGAAAGCATTTCCATTAAGATCTGGAACAAGACAAGGATGTCCACTCTCACCACTGCTTTTCTATATAATACTGGAAGTCCTAGCCAGAGCAATAAGACAAGAGAAAGACATCCAAGGAATCCAAATAGGAAAAGAAGAAGTCAAACTATCACTATTTGCAGATGATATGATAATATACATAGAGAACCCCAAAAACTCCACAGAAAAACTAATTCAACTCATCAATCAGTTCAGTAAAGTGGCAGGATACAAAATCAACACGCAAAAGTCAGTAGCCTTCCTATACACAAACAATAAATCTGAAGAAGAAATCAAAAAAACCATCCCTTTTTTTATTGAAACAAAAAAAATCAAATATTTGGGAATAAATCTAACAAAAGAGGTAAAGGACCTATACAAAGAAAACTATAAAACACTGTTAAAAGAAATAGAAGAAGACACAAAGAAATGGAAAGACATCCCCTGCTCATGGATTGGAAGAATAAACATTATTAAAATGGCCATCCTTCCAAAAGCAATATACAGATTCAATGCTATTCCAATCAAAATTTCAATGTCATTCTTCAAAGAAATAGAACAATTATTGATGAAATTCATATGGAATCACAAAAAACCCCAAATAGCCAAAGCTCTCCTGAAAAAAAAAAAGGGAATGGAGGCATCACACTCCCAGACTTCAAACTATACTACAAAGCCATAATCATCAAAACTGCATGGTATTGGAACAAGAACAGACATACAGACCAACGGAATCGAATAGAAAATCCAGAAATAAACCCACAGATTTATGGTCAACTAATCTTTGACAAAGGAGCAAAGACTATGCATTGGAGCAAAGAAAGTTTGTTCAATAAATGGTGCTGGGAAAACTGGGTCACTACATGCAAAAGAATGAAGCTTGACACTACCTCACACCATACACAAAAATCAACTCAAAATGGATTAAAGAACTAGACATAAGACCTGAAACCATAAAATATATAGAAGGAAATATAGGCAAAACACTACGTGATTTGCACATCAAAGACATCTTTACAGACACATCACCCAAAGCAGTGATAGTGAAGGCAAAGATAAACAGCTGGGACTACATCAAATTAAAGAGCTTCTGCACAGCAAAAGAGACAATAACAAAAACAAAGAGAAACCCCACCAACTGGGAGAACATTTTTGCACCCAACACTAATGATAAAGGACTGATCACAAAAATCTGCAAAGAACTGATGAGACTCAACAACAACAAAGAAAATAATCCAGTCAAAAAATGGGCAGAAGAGCTAAAAAGAAACTTCTCTGAAGAGGAAATGCAAATGGCCAACAGGCATATGAAAAAATGTTCAACATCACTTGTCATCAGGGAAATGCAAATCAAAACTACCATGAGATACCATCTTACACCAGTGAGAATGGCACATATTAAAAAAACTAGCAACAACAAATGTTGGCGAGGTTGTGGAGAAAAAGGAACTCTTCTGCACTGTTGGTGGGAGTGCAAACTGGTCCAACCACTATGGAGAGCTGTGTGGAGATTTCTGGACCTACTAAACATAGAGCTTCCATATGATCCAGCAATTCCACTCCTAGGTATTTACCCAAAGGACACAGAAACATCAATTCCAAAGAGCACCTGCACCCCTATGTTTATAGCAGCACTGTTTACAATAGCTAAGCTTTGGAAACAACCCAAATGCCCAAAAATAGATGACTGGATCAAGAAGATGTGGTACATATATACCATGGAATATTACTCAGCATTCAAAAAAGATAAACACATGCAATTTGCAGCAACATGGATGGCGCTGGAAGGGATCATGCTCAGCGAAATAAGCCAAAAAGAAAAGGAAAAATACCGGTTGGTCTCACTCATGGCAGGAATCTAGAAAACTTAAATAAGGGACCAGGAAAATGAATAACTATAAGAAAGTGAAAATCAAATCAACAAAAAACTATGAACCAGAGACACTTTTAGGGGGGCGGGGGCGGGAGGGGAGGGATTGGGGTCAGAATGGGGGGGCTGCAATTGTATGGGGAATATAAAAATAAAATTTATTATTAAAAAAAAAAAAAAGGAGAGGTATATTTCAATGAATTTCCAGAAAAACTGCTTTGGATACTGAGAAAAATAAGGGGCAACTATGTTTTGTTTTGTAAGATTCAAAGACTATAGTGGTCCCTTTTATCACTTGATTCCACTTTTAGGTGTCTTACTTTTATTTAAATAGCAAAAGTCAATGCCTTATTTTTCCTAAGTGCTAAAAAAGTGAACTAAATAGATCAAGAGCTGGCCTTACACAATGCAAAATTAAGCTGCTTTGGAAATTGTTTTTCTTAGTTGTGAAACGAATAGTAATCATGACTGGCCCTACAGGAAAAGCATCAATAATCTTTAGCAATGAAATAGAAGCATGGCAGGAAAAAAAAAAAAAAAGAATAAAGTCTTCCCCTTAGCATGTCAAGCTGAAATAACCGTAACTAATTTCTTTTTTAAAGAAACCATAACACTGGGGAAATGATTCCTTTTGCAAGACTTCTGAAAAACTGTTTGGGAAGAGGGATCACTACCTTTAATTAAGGCCACAAATTCACTGAGAAAAAGTAAGGGTTAGAATTAGAATGAAAAAAAGTTAATTCGTTTTTTGGCATGTTTTTTATTGGTAGAGAAAAATGCATATACTTCATATTTATTTCTGCTTAAACTAAAAAGATACATAAAACTTCAATTAGTACTAAGTGACATACTTTATTTAAGGAAAGGAATACAGGGAAAACTGGGAGGAGAGAATCAGAAAAGTCATAGGAGAAAGAGCAGGAAATAGAAAAATAAAGAGTAAGAAAAAAAAGAGGACGGGAAAGTAGCACACAGAGACTCACACAAATATGTCAACTGATCTTTGGCAAAGATCCAACCAGCAGGTAAGGTCAAAGGAGAATATTTTCATTAAATGGTGCTGGAACAATTGACAACCATATCCAAAAGAAAAATGTAATCTTCAACCTATACCTTATATATCTTGTACAACTAAAAACAGGTCATAAAAGACCTAAATGTAGAATGAAAATTTAAAACCTTTCAAAAATGCATAGGAGAAACTCTTTAGGACCTTGAGTAAGGTAAGAGCTCTTAGATATAATATAACAAAAGAAAAATTAACTAGATTTTATCAAAACTGAAATCTTTTGCTCTGGTAAATGAGTTAGGAAAATGGGAGTAAATATGTTTTTTATATCACATCTGACCAAAAAAACTGAATCAAAAACATAAAGAACTCTCAAAAGTCAAAAGCAAGAAAACAATCCAACTTAAAAATAGGCAAAAGATCTGATCACACATTTCAAAGACATAGGAATGCTAATAAGCACATAAAAAATGAAGATACTCAACATCACTTGTTAGGAAAATGCAACTAAAACTACAATAGACATCACTACATGCTTACTAAGATAGCTGTAATAAATTATACAATGCAAGGATGTGAACAAACTGGAACCAAAGTGAAAGAAACCAGATACAAGAGGAATTACAAAAGATGATTCCTTATATATCAAAAAGGTAAAACAACAAACACTGGGTGGGAATGGGTATGAACCACAAAGAATATTTCTGGTGTGATAAAAATG